GTGATAGGAATTCTGTTACCATCACCGATGATGATGTCTTCATTACCTCCATAGTCGGTGTAGATAGATAAACTTGAATGTGGATAGATACATTCTATAAATCGGAAGTGATATGATGAGAAGTATTAGAGTTAATAATCTAATTACTTAAATGAGTAATCGGTATTGTTATGATATTCGTTTGAGGCCAATTGGGTGTAGTAGGCTTGGGTTGAGATCGATAAACTTTTGTTGTGTGTCTAATTTTATCACAGAGTTGGCAAATGACTTTATACTAATTATTATTATTGAGATGCTAAAACTACTGATAGTTATAGTTGGAGTTATTTTTTGCTTTGTTTGGGTTGAAGTTACTATAATGGTTAGATAGTTATTAGTGTAATAAATGATGATGGCTCTATGTATTAACCATGTGTCTTGGAAATATCTTGTTTAGTTTTTTATTTAAGTTCTTATTGTTTTGCTTGGCCTTTTCTTTGGATTTTTGATTGAATTGAGCTGTGATAGTTTATCACGTCTTTCTCTCTTCTCGTTTTAGATATGTTTTATGATCAATCAGTTTGTCATACAATTCTTCAAATGATATTAATGAGTTAAATGTATAAATTATTATCGTTAGTTTCTTATATTCATTTCTTAGGCCATTGAGAGATGAACAATGACTTTTTCATCATTTAAGAGATAATATATTACAGCCAAATCATTTGTTATTTTTATCAAAATAAAATACTTTGAATGTGGGTGTGAGAATGATTGACAAAGGTAGTTTATAATTTGGTTCATGCTTCTACTATGGTAAAGAGATTTATGGTGCTATGGAGCAAATAACTAAGGCTTGAATAGCTTATAGAATAATATAATATTATCATACTTATAACTGATGATCAAGATTTACCATTAGGATGACTGGTAGACAACTAAGAGAGCCATCAATTTAGCTAGATCATATAAAAAAAAAAGAGATTGATGAATTATGCCTCTTAAGATACATAGTTGTCACCTTTGGAGAGCTTGTATGAGATTAGCGTTGTTGTATAGATAAATATAAGTCTTATAGGTTGAGATGCTCTGATCTTATAAAAAAAATCTAAAACGAACTGTTGATTTAGTTTAGATGCAAATATAGTGGAGATCTGATCTGATCTATTAGAGGAGATCATATTTGAGAAGTGCACAATGGAAGATATGATCTGATGAAGGAGATTATATTTGAAAAGTGCACGACGGAGGATTTGATCTAAGATATGCATAAGAGGATAATATCTTCCTTCCTCTCTTGAGTCCTCTCGATTGTGAGTGCTGATGGTATAGTTAAGAGGATGACAGAAGGTAGTAGACTATCATCTAGAGATTGCTCATGGATCCGAGGTGCTAGTGAGTTCGATAGTTGACAAGAAGAGAACAACGACGTTGGTGAAGATGCTCGGTAGTAGGTGCTAGTGTAAGAGTAGAGGGAACCGCCCCCCCCCCCCCCCCAGGTAGAATTGAATAATAATGGAGCATTATTGACAAATCAGGTCGATCACTAGAGAAGACTGATTAGATTAGCAAAGTGGCGTAGATCTACCACAGAGTAGATCATGCTAGGAGATCGGTAGGGAGGAGTCGTGTGTCTTCGTTTTCGGTGCAATTCTAAAACCGAAAACAGGAAACAAAAATCGAGAGCCATAAAGCACTAATAGGAAGGATGAGGAAGAGATAGTAATCGTCAATAAATCAATAAGGTAGCGAGGATGAAGGAGCCTTGTTTGAAGTAAAAAGACTCTAACATTATTAATAATTAAAAAATTTATTGTGAAAGAGATGATATCATTCATTGAGGTAATATGTATTTATATAGATTTTAAGAAAAAAATATTTTCTCAATCGTGTACTCAAATAATATATCCTCATATATTATTGGTTAAGGATATATATCAGTCTACCATTATCTTCTATCATATTCGATGTCTAAATTTATTAACCCCAAAACTTTGAGTTGCAAGAAGAGAGCATGACGACACATGATCTCTAATCACTTTTTGATTTTACAAATCTAAAACAATTTTCTATTTTGATGATAACGTGATGATGAATCTGATCCATTACCTTTTATCTTTTTTGTTTTTTTTACCCGAGATGATATCCTGTGTTCTGATTTATGGCGTAAATATTAAAATAGAAAAGAAAAAACTGTATTTATCGAAATGCTACAAAGCCGAACACTGCTGCTTTACTTGATAGTATGGCAAGCTGGTCCTCTCTGATGTTGAGCTCCGAGAGATGCAGGCTATGCAATGTGACAGCAAAAAGGGAAAAGGAATCCCCTTTCCAGGAAGACAGTGCATGGGCAGGCAGAACGACAACAGTGAGCTCAGGTTGGTGGATGATGGAGGAGGAACAAGTGGGGACTCCATTGCTTTTGTCCTTCGATCAACCCATGTCTTCTAAAAGGGAAGCCCTGTTGTTGCTGCTGCTACTTCCGAGGGCCGTGAAAGAAACAGGCAGCAGATTCTTCCTCTGCTTTGGGCACCAAAGACACTTCACAACCACCCCATGAAGTGTGAAGGGCTATCGACAGCCAAATGATCGCTGAATGAATGCATGCCGCCATCAGGATTTGCAGACAATAAAGCTGATGTTGCAGAGAATAAACACGATGAAGGCAGACTGACACACATCTGAAAAGCCAAAGAAAGTCCTCCTTTTTTTTTCTTTATGTCATACAAAGATATGGGCATGATATGATCATAAAGAAAACTGATGATACTCAGCATCAGTATTTATGATAATAGTGTCGATTTTGATCTTCGACCTAACGCGTTGAAATTGATACGATCGATCTATTTTTCGAGTGTTGTTGCATCCGAATGCTTTTTTCCTTTGGAAAAAGAAGTGTTTTTTTATCTTCTCAAACAATCCACTGATGAATGGAAAATATGCAATTCCCTCGGTGTGCGGGATGTGAATAGTGCAAGGTCAAATCAAATCTGTGTCGACGATGTTTTAATCAGCTTGAAAACTTGTTCCTCAAGGTAGAGAAATTTACGTATAAATCAAACAAAAAATTATAGCCATTGACAATTACTGCACTCCAAACAGGAGCAGGTTTGACAGTGATAACTGAGTTCTTTTTGTAAAAGAATATTTATGCCAGTGGATTACAACAGTTCTGAAGTGGATTCGAGTGAACCAATTAAGCGGCAGGTGTCGGCAGGATATCTTTATTGCATGAAGCCCGAACATCCTCTTTGTTCTCTCTTTTTTCTATCTCTGCTCCTCTGTCTCCAATGCTCTGCCTCCACCTATGAAAGTAGACAGAAGTGCGTTAATTTCCTTCAACAAGAAGCAAAATAGAATCAGACTGTAGTCAATGATGATTCTTGCTTCTTTCTGGGGTTGAAGAAAGTAGAAGATAGAAAACAAGTAGCAACCAAGATCTCATCTGTCAAGGAAACATCCTTTTTTTGCTCTCCTTTTAGCTTGCATCTTTCCTTCATGCAGTTATTTTCAGTGATGGGAGACAGGATTTGGAGAGGCATCTTTAGTTGGTGACTCAGGGTCAACAACTAATCCTTATACTTAATATTTTCCTCTTAATTCATGGTTTTTTTAAAGGGTTTGATCCAATAAAACCTTCACCACTGAAGATCTTATTACCAAGAACAAAATAGTTTGCCTCGAAGTGACTTGCTGTGTTTAGATTGAATGAAATTCCAGAAAATTTGATGGGAAAACTGCAGCATTAATCAGGACTTGTGTAGAATATTGAGTTTACTGATAGGTGAAAATAAGAGATCTGAATCAGTGTGTGGTAAATAGAGACCACTTATAAGCACACGCCATAAAGTTGATTCCTTCCTCCCACAATGATTATTTTGAAGACTTGACTAACTAAACAAGGCTAGCAAATTAATGATGCAACTCAAGAATTGGACAAGTAGATCTTAAGCTAATCTCATAATAGACCATAAACCCTAAACAACCAAGACAGGACAAAGTAATGGATTGCTTTTGTTTTGTGTAGTAAACTTGGTTCTGATTTCTGTGACTTCAAAGGCGAGCCACTATGATGTTTCCTTTCCATGGGAAGCGTGGGCATAAACCAATCTAGCTTAGGATGTAAGATCATCAAGTCCATATCCAAGAATCCCTATCAAGTGACCTCACAAAAGTTTGGATGGTGTGACAATCATGAGACACTGTTGTGACATGAATCATGTGGCAAATAATTTTACAAATGCAGCTACATGATCCTTTTTCAACTGTTCTTCTATGGGAGGAGAATATAATCATTCATATATGCAATGCCATTTGGTGCATCATTGTGTTGATACATATGCAGCATGGTATTAATGATACCATTAGATGTTTCAGTTAACATATGTACTGCTGGCACTGACAAATTTGTAGGTTTGATGTGATCAAACAACAAAGTGGTCCTGCTGTATAAACTCTGTAGCATTCACAGTTATTGAAAAAGTGAGATGGAGTGTTAAAAATGTGAATGTAATTGCTGCATCAATGTTATGGTTTCTATCACAAGCTGGCTAAGTGCAATTAAAGCAGAGCAGAAGTTGATCCCTCCTTGTCACAAACCTAAGATCTTCATATGGCTACATTGTTTGGGAATCACCAACTAATTTGCAAACATGGTTTCATCTGTTTTCTGCTACAGGATTTCATAGAACTTTCTTACTCGTAAGCCATTTGACAGGGACTCCATTGGACCACCAAATAAAGTAAATCAAAGCTCTCTGTGTCATGTCTGTGATCAGTGGTGGATCATGTCATATGATTCTGAACCCTGATACAGTCCAAGGCAAATGAAGATCTTGATCAGCTCCTTGGGATTGAATGCATCAGTTAAAAGAATGTACATAAAGTTACAGGTCTGTGCAAAAGAGAAGAATTGAATGCATCTTGTAAGATTTCACTTACAACAGCTTGAATCAGATGCATAAAGGAGCGCTTTTTCCTGGTAAAAATTGGCATAATAGTCACTGATATTACATTATTACTTTTGGTGGATAGCTAGTCACGTAGAGCTTAGATTAACACCAAGAGCAGGTAATTTCTGACATGATTAGCTTTCATGAAAACCACAGAAAAATGTCAAGTGAATGACACATTGACCCTGATGAGGTTCTGGAGCAAGGACAGATATGTAAAATGCTTTCAGCAATGAACAGAATTTTTTCTTCTTTGAAGAGAAGATTGCAGATTAATTAGGAAGCTTCATGGCCATTAGAGGTAGTGAAAATGTCATTTTCCAAGTACCTTAAAAGTGTTATCTTTACCTCCATCACTCCCGACTCAGCTCTCTCAAATATTGCTAGCTTCTCTTAATCTTTCTTTTTGTTCACCTTGTTCTACCACTGAAGGTATCTTAGATCTCAATCCACTGCAATGCAAGGACATTAGAGACTTGCTTCAAGACCACTTGATTGCTTCACCTTCCTGTGCTTCCTTCTCTCGCTGTCTGTCTGTCTTCCATCTAACTTGAACCTTAAGCATATCATGCTCATAATAAATTGAGCTGCAACTCACCTGCCTTTGAGATCCTCCAACTCCTTAAAGACCTCTTCACATCCAAGGACTCATTCTGACATCCTTTGGTGTGCTAACATTTGAAGAATGGGGCGGCATTCTTGCTGTCTCAAGCAGAAGATAAGGAAAGGCTTGTGGTCTCCTGAAGAAGATGAGAAGCTCTATGATCACATCATCAGATGTGGTGTTGGCTGTTGGAGCTCAGTGCCAAAATTAGCAGGCATTTTTAGCTCTTCCCTGTTGCTGAAAATTTTCTTTCATGTTCTCCAAACTCCTCCATATAATTCAGACACTTTTCTTCTATCAGGACTGGAACGCTGTGGGAAGAGTTGTCGACTCAGGTGGATCAATTACCTGCGGCCGGACCTTAAAAGAGGCAACTTCTCTCAGCAAGAAGAGGATACGATTATAAGGCTACACGAGATCATGGGTAACAGGTAACAGGCAAGCCTGGAGGAGATTCTGTAAGCAACTCGATGTCAAACTTCATCATGTTTTGTGGTTTCAGGTGGTCACAAATTGCATCACAATTGCCAGGAAGAACAGACAATGAGATCAAGAACTACTGGAACTCATGTCTCAAAAAGAAACTCCGGCAGCGGGGAATCGATCCAAGCAGCCACAAGCCACTGAGTGAGATAGCAGCACAAGAAGAAGGGACCAGAACACATTGCTCTAATACTGGTGCTGCTTTTGAGCAGTTGCAGTTGCATCCAGTCTTTGACACCTTCCCACTGATTGAAATCCAGACGTGTTTGGATTCAGTAGAGACTAATGTAAGCATCTACGGTCAATTCCATCAGACTTTTGAACCAGTAGGGCAGGATGAGTGCTTAGTCAACTTGGAGTTATGTGATCATGGCAGTGCCTTGGATAATATCGGTCACGGGGACAGTTCAATCAACAGCAGTAACTGGAACTGCAACATAGGATCTGAGATGAAAAGTGTGTTTGGAGATGAAGACTTGAACTGGGTATCTCAGAGTAAGGTGGAAACACCAGCTCATATGCAGATGAATGAGGAGAAGACTCATGAACACAAGTTTAATCATTGGCAAGAGAAAAATACCTACCCAATTCCAGTGAGGTCACTGTCTCATGATCTCTCAGAGACCTGCTTCAGTGTCTCTCGAGATGCAATGGAAAGTGAATTCAATGTGGATTTCTGCTAGGGTCTCTTGAAATGCAACTTGCCCTTCTGTCTCCACTCCATTTGAAAGCCTTTGAAGAGATCTTTGTAACATTATAGGTTCTCTTTTTAGTCTGTTTCTAATCACAATTTTTCTTTCTTTTTCTTCTTTTGATTTCTTTTCGAAGTCAATAGAGTTCTAATTGTTCTTCTCGATTCCTTCAAAAGTGGTGAGGTCTTAGAACTTTAGACAAGAAACTAACACAATTCTCTTCCATCCCACCTGTTTTCTGCTGCTTGTTTCTTCTCAGTGGATACTCCCATCCATCAACAGAGATATATATATCAACTTACCATCACTTCTTTGCACACCTTCAGTACATCGTTCAGTGTCTGATCATTTTACCACTATATTTGCTTTCATCAGTCAGATCCTATTGATAGACGTTCTACAAATAAAACTGAAGAAAGAAGCCAAAGCCAACACTTGTTATTTCTGAAATTTGTCTCCAGAGGAAGTGAAGCATCAGGAGCTGTCAATAACTGGTGATCCTGCTTCAGCTGTTTCAGTGCTGTTCTTCCACTGCAACAGAAGTGAACTGTTGATTAGAAGAGTCCTGTCATTGCTTTCTACTGCCTTTTCTATGTGCATATGGCCTTGAAGAAACTTCAGTTTGATGCAGTACAACTTCAGTGTCTGCAGTAGCATCAGTGATGGCATTATATTATGTGGAGAATATTTCAATGTGCTGCTTAAGGATGGTTTATGCCAACTTGTCATTAACTAGTACTGTTTGATTCTTGAAGTAATCTGTTCTTGAGTGAGCTACATCCAAACATAGCATATTCTTCTTCTTTGTACTGGTTTAGGTTCATATGTCATATACTTGCATGGTTTTGTATGAAATGAATCTGTCTACTCAACATTTATCTGTACAGTGGCTTAAAATAGTTTCATGGTTAAACAAAGAGAGATAAATAAGATATAGGATAAAAGATCAAAAAGATCTAAGAAAATTTAATTAGGAATAATAAAATAAATATGAATGCTTTTAACTAAAAATATAACAGACATCATCCATCTTGGTCTAACTCATCATGAATATTGGTATATCCTAAAAGATTATGTTAAATGGAAGTAGGTATTACACATGTTGATATGTTGTATAATGGATGAAAAGTCTCATCTTTGAGTCATGCGCAACATTTACAATGGAAGAATAGTTAGCATCTACACAGAAACAGCAAGAAAGGTGATAATAAAGAACTATGACCAAAATATCTAGCACATCTGCTCACACAACAAGGGTTTTTACATACATATGGCATAGAATAACACCATATACAAATACCAGATATTAGGTGCATCAATATTCACTGGAGGAAAAAGTAATTTACAATAATAAAAGTTTAAAAGCTGTATACCTGATCCAAAATATGTATTTATGTGCTTTCCACAATAAGAAATTTATATAACAAGAATCTAACATGACTGTATAAGAATGGAAAGAAATTTTGTAGTACAAAAAATCAGTTCTTAACAATCATGCACCATAAATAGAATTAATTCTTAACAGATGCACTATAAATCTAACCAACAATTTTCTGTGGTTCATCATTGACAGTCAACAGAAAAGAATGATTTGGATTAGAACTCACCTTATTGTACTATTTGATACAGAATTTGAATTAATGCACCTTTTGCCAAAAGGCAGACTACAGCTCCAATCGTTGGAAAAGGACAATGAAACAATAGCATCTTTTGTAAAACCAGGACAATTTGCAATAGATAGAAGTGGATGGAATGAGCATATTCAACCTTGAGAGCTGCAGTGCTGCAGTGCAGCTACAAGAATACCCAAATAATAGCAGGGTCAGTACTAAACTATAGCCAATATAATGAAATGCATGTCGAATCTGCAATTGACATTATTAAGTTGAACTAATACAGAATTTACTTCTGCAGATCTTCCAGCAACTGCACATTAGCACCTCCAGTTACAATGGAAATAAGTATGTAATTGATTAAACCCTCAAACAGTCTTGGTTATACATGACGAAGATTTTCCCCAATAGCACATATCTTCATCAAAGAAAGGCTCATGTTCATGGCCCCCTTTTGACAACAGTTATAATCAAATACTTCTAAATCAAGAAAATACACATAAGCTTGAGAAAAAAAAAAAAGATTTTTCCTGGGGAATGATCTGTTGCTTACTGTGACAATGCAACTTCCAGTCACCTAGAAGCTTCTGCCAAAACATTATAATTAAATTACACCATTTCAGATGACGATATCAGTAATTAGACTTCAAAAGGATAATAGTAAAACAAGGAATTACAAGATTCACTAAGGCGAATTAAGCTCTCAATTCGCCTAGTTGCTGCTATAACCTTTTAGTCATGGAAAACAAAGATAATCAGGCAAGTGGATGCCAATATTTTCAGCAAGATTTTAGATGCAAAAGATAATAACCTTCTTTCTGCTTCCTTGGAGGTTCCTCCTCATTTTTGTGTAATGATGTATCATGCCTCTGCAGCTTCAAGTCTTCAAAAGACAGTCAGTTATGTATATGTTTTCTTGTATAACTAATTTTGCAGAAAATGTACAAAGATCCAGGAAATCTTGCACTCCAAACTGCAGATTTCAATGAAAAAGAGTAAATATACTTTGAGGCAGCACATGAAGATGATAATGCATGTGATTCAATGTGTGTGTAAATGGCCTTCCTAGAGGACATATCCCTCTAACAAAGTGTTCTAATGATCCATTCTGTAGCACACCGGGGAAGATGTGGCTAGCACCTTGGCGGCTACCTCAACATCTGGCTGTAAAGATCAGGGTCATAGTTGCAGCCATGGCGGCCTTCGACGTGCACAGAATCCCATCCCCTATCTCTATAATGAGTTGGGAGTGCAATTCTATACCGTGGGTACCGGAAGTGATGAAGGAACCAAGGAACCAAGACTGTGATGCTCGTGCCCCAGACAAACAGAAGAGTGGAGTCGGCGACAATGGGTATCACCGCGTCGGGGCCATTGTCCCAGCGTCCTGGAGATCGTTGTCAGTAGAAATAAGGGTGAACTGGCGTCGCAAGTGGGCGATGCCTCCACCTGCGGCCGGATGTGGACGCCAAAAGATGGCGCGAAGAAGAAAAGCCGGAAGCTGCCCCAAGAGGAGGAAGAGAAGGGGAAGGGACAAGTGGTGGGTGCGCCGTACCATGGTTGGCGATCGAGCTCCACCGATTCAGGGGAGGACGCGACTGCCACGAGGAGAACATCCAAAAGCTACAGAATCCGAATTTTAGGGCAGAGAACTCCAAAAAAACGAATTTTTAGAAGAGAACTTCCAAGAACTGTTCCAGAAAAATAAACTCTTCAAAAACATCAAGAAAAAGTCCTCACGCTGACGGGAGATCGGGAGGCGTGGATGAGGAGCAGAAGGATCACAGCAATGGCGCCAGTAGAGACTAGCGGGAATCACAAAGCAAGGACACTGAGGGGACGACGCTTGTGGACATGGAACGTGGATCCCATCCCACCGTTCACGTGTGTTAGCACGGATCGTAACGACGCAAATCGGCCGAGTACTCCATCCGTTCACGTGTGTTGGCACGAATTTTAAAGGTACAAATCAACCCTCCGAGTTCTCCATGAAACGGACGTATGATGGAGGCTTTAGGATTCGATGTGGACATGGATCATGGATCCCTCCCACCGTTCACGTGTCTTAGCACAGATCTTAAGGACACAAATCAACCCTCCCGAGTACTCCATGTATCGGACGTATGGAGGCTTTGCGGTTCGATGTGGACATGGATCATGGATCCCATCCCACCGTTCACGTGTCTTGGCACGGCGTTGAAAGACACAAATCAACCCTCCGAGTGCTCCATGTAACGGACCTATGATGGAGGCTTTGGCATTCGATGTGGACATGGATCGTGGATCCCATCCTACCGTTCACGTGTCTTGGCACAGAACTTAAAGACACCAATCAACCCTCCCGAGTACTCCCATCATGTAACGGACGTATGATGGAGGCTTTGCGATACGAGATTGCTTTAATAATTCACAGGAATTTGATCTTATTATTTGATTTCGCGTTCATCAGATTGATTACTGTAACCCATTTGCATTAGCGGAGTTCTTCATGCTGCTTTCAAATCGCTTCGGCAGTGAGCAAAGCTAGAAGAGTTCAACAGAGTTACAATTGAAAGATCAAGTGTCGAGGAGATCAAACACACAGAGGCCAACAAGAGCAAGAAGCAACGAGCTCACACAGGAGGAGACCACCAAAGATCGCAGAACATGACGAGCAAGCATGAGAGGCAAATCACTCCCTTCATGCGTGGTTAACCTTCCTGCAGTTCTTCCTGATCTGTCCCATGCTCCCCGTGAGAGGGGCGATGTTGCCCATCTTCACCATGGACCTCGCAAAGTGCTGGAAGAAGAGCTCGCCGTTGGCCGCGTAAAGCTCCACCAGCTTCTTCGTCGCGGGGCTGTTGGTGAAGAGGATCTCGTCGGAGCTGAGGAGGCCCTTCTTGGCCACCAGGTTTTTGAAGTAATGGTTGTCGAACTTGGTCGGGCTCACGAGATCCAAGGGGAAGAGGTTCTGGTCACCGCCGGAGCGTGGGCAGCGGCTCCTCAGACTAGCCGCGTACGCCGGATCAAGGGTGAAGTCGGCGAGTCCGTTCCCGGTCTGGTTGTACAGCCTCTGCCGGAAACTGGTGCACCGCGACTGCCCGATCGTGTGGCTACCTGCAATGATCACTCCGCCATTGTCAGTATGCAGAAGCATGATAGAATCGTTCCAGCTGAGCAATGCGTGGTACCGGAGAGTGCAACGAGATCGACGAGGTCGAGTCCCTTGAGCTTGAACTTGGTGATGATGGTCTGCAGAGTGTTGTTGGGAGCAGGGATGTGGTTATTCGAACCCTGTATGCTTGCTCCCAGTGAGTCCCTCCTTCCTAGTGGAACCTCCCAGTAAGGGCCACCAACCTATCTCAGAAAACCGCATCAGCCATGGATGATGAGCTTCAATCCAGCCACCATTATGGATCGAAGTACAATAACTATCATACCAGGACAGTGGAGTCTCGGGCAGCAAGAGCTAATATGTCGGCGCAGGACACAGTGTGAGGGCATGCCTTCTCCAGCGCAGACTTGATCTCATCGATGACCTCGAACCCCCTCACAGAGTTCCGATTGGGGACGGACATCTTCTCGCTCACGATCGTCTTGCTGCTGTCCAGCAGAATCGATGCGTCGCAACCCTGAAAGGTGAAGGTACAAGCTTGTTCTTGAGAAAACATACGCATTGGTCTCACAAACTACATGTCAGCAACCTTAACGAAGCAGTCGTGGAAGTGGAGACGAAGCAGGGAAGCAGCCATCCGTGCTTCCTTAGCTACAGCTTTTGCTACGATGGACTTCACGATCTCATGAGCTTTGGGGCATGAGCGGTCGTAGAACTGTGGGAAGAGGAACGGACCACCGTGAGGGAAGGCGAAGCAAAGAGGAGAAAGAGCGAGGGCTGTGAGAAGCATAAGGAAGCTGATTGAAAGAGCCATGTTTCCTGGGTTTTCTTCTTCTGGGAACTCAAGGTGATGATGGAAGGCATGGTTAGCTTGTGATTCTTATAGGCCAAAAAGATATGATGCCTTGAGCATGATCTAAAAGAAACCTAAAAAAGTAGTGAGGGAGTTGGTACGATGCTCCATAGCTTCTCCCTGCTCCTACTCCCTGATCATTATTGGAAGGGCCAGTACAGAGATGGGTGATCTGAATCACTTTTACTTCTTTGAAGTTTGAAGCTTCATGAGCTAGTCTTTGACTTGCTATGTACCTGCATCTTAATCTGCTTACAATGGAGATCAGAATAGGCTAATCTTAGCTCAGAAGTGACTGGAACCCATATCTACTTTGCCTCATTTTGCAGCAGTACAAGATCTAACAAAGATCTGAAATGCCTTGCACATCTAACGAAGAAGGGAAGAAACAATGTTAAACACATTTCTACCATCCACAAACGAACACAAGGATTAGGTGGTAAGTAAAAGACAGATTCATGGAAAGACACAAAAGCCTTCTTGGAGGAAGAGTAGCGAAGACCAGAGTGGATAATTGAAGAGTATGTTGAATATAATCGACTTGCTTACATAGAGATTAGTAGCACGGGGAACATGAGTTGGTGTGTTAGCTTTTGGATCAAGTTTGCCAACCTTTTCTTCTTCTATGTGGTCATTCTTTAGTGTATCTTCAACTCCTTTAGGTCACCCTTATGATGGCCATCAAGTAGCAGATAGTTGATTCTTCAATTGACTCCATGGAAGAAAAAAATGAAGCTTTGATAAAACTAGTTCTTATACATATATTGTTAAAAGTCTTCGCAAACTCACTAGTAATTGAGATCACAAGAAGCTCTCAAGTTTACTTGAGATGATCAATTAATTAGGTTGTTTAAACAATTAGTGGCTACATTAATAGTTTATCTCCAGTGATATATTTCTATTGTTTTAGGTGCTCGATAAACTTGATATGGAATCGAACTTTTTATCTCCTTCGTCCTTCTGCTTGTGAAAAGAGTATTAGCTAACATGCATAAAGGATGCAGTCAAAAGCATACCAATCTCGAGCAAAGCATATCTGTTTGTATTATCTGCTACGTTCTCATGTGGGTTTGGTGGCATCATTCTGATGATTGATGCAACCACTTCTATATGAAGCTGTATGATCGAGTGCTCCAGCTAGCTAGCTGATGAGTTATTTGGATGACAGTCTCCAGCTAAAGGATAAGAGCTACGAGACAGCAAAGAGGGAACTCCTCAGATCATACTGCTGTACAAGTTGTATCAGCAGTGGTTGTACAAAGAACAAACATATGATCTGGTTTCTGCATGCACCTCACATTTTACCTCTTTTCTTTTGTTTTTTGCTTGGAAGGATATTATCAATTTCACATCCTGTTTATGAAATGTAAACAGAAACACAACCAACCTTTTTAAGAAACAGAAATATATGCTATAATGGATGATAATCCAAGAACATTTTCTCGCAAACCCTTAGCCTTTGAGAGAGAGAGAGAGAGAGTGATGCTAAGCTATAATATAAATTAAACTTCATACAGAAATTATTGAATTTACCTTTTTTTTTTCTGCGGATAAGTCAATATTTGATCGTTATTAGTATGACTTCATAGGCTCAAGAGTAATTATTCGTTTTGGGTATGTCCGTACGATTTTGTCCTTTCAGAGCACATGAGCTCAAGATGAGAGTGATGAAGGGCTTATAAACCCATTGGATCACCCTTACTTTCAAAGGTCCTTTTTGGGGCTCATAAGCATTGAATGGGCAAAACATACGGACACACCTAAAGCGAACAATTACTTACGAGCCTATGCGGTCACACCAGTGACACTCAAATATTAACTTATCAGAATAATGCTATGAGGGTCATGAGCCCTTAGCTCCCCTTAGGAGGGAGTACTGATAAGGACATTTATTCTATATTGATTGAGGATTAGGGAAACCAATGACTTATAAGTTCGTCGGGTCACCCTTACTTTGAAATGTACATTTTGAGCAAAACCATGCAAGCATATCCAAAACGGATAATTTCTCACGAGTGGTCATATTAATGATAATCAAATATTGTGCTATTTTGAACACACCATACTCTCGCCTATTTTACCTCTATATAAATATATAGTGCTATTTTAAATACTCAGATAATGATCTTCCAATTCACAAAGAAAATTTTTTATAATAAATATATTTGTTAGATTGAATCGATGCATATCTTAATAACTATATATTAGATTCAATTGATGCATATCTTTCTTATATAATTAAATTGATGCATAACTTTTTTTTATAGTAATACATATCTCATTAGCTTATTGCATGACATCCTTCCATTTGTCTTATATATTTTTTTAATGTAAACTATAAATTAATTATAGATTATATATTTGAGTGTTTATCGTATTTAAATTTATTTAGACACATCTAAGCTTTATTTTAACATATTTATTCTAAAATTATGTTAAGATTTTAATATATTTAGGATTAAATACTATATATGAGTAAGACAAATTCCTAAAAAAAACCCTAGTTTTAAGAAATTTTCACCCATTGTCATTCTTTTCAAAAAGATAACACCCCAATCGCCCACAGTCTTCCCCCCTCCCCCTTTCTCTTCCCCTCTCTTTCTTCTTCTTCTCCTCGTCCTTCTCGGCTCCCTCATTTTTGGTTGCCCATCCTTCCTATCACCTGTTGTCTCCTCTCCCTTCCTCACTCCTCCCTCATCACCTGCCCCAACCTCAACTGATTAAAAGGCCTCCAATTACCATGCATCACCTTTGCCCCTCACCTTCCCCTAGTTTATCTCTTCCTTACATCCCTTGCTTTGCCACTAGTGATTCTCAATGGTCATCCTTTACCCTCTTCAATCATTGTGGAGACAACGATCAAATCCTCGATACCTTTTTCATGGATAACACTATTGTGTTGAAATGAGATTGAGACATATTATTAGAGATGGGAGAGGAGACGAGGGTAACGGTGCAGAGTAAAAGTAATGGTGAGGGGGGCATCGAGACAGTGGAAGCAGATAGAAAATTATCTTTTTACGAAAGAAGAGATGCTTTACCAAATTTTTTTAAAAATAAAAATATTTTTTAAGAATTTGCCCTAAGAGTAATGCAATGAAATCTCAATATCATATATCTACTTTGTATAAGCTTATATGCAAAAAAAAAATAAAATACTATTTTAAAAATAAGATAAATGATTATATTTTAGTTAATTATCATAATTTAACTATATCAAGTGAGTTATATATATATATATATATATATATATATATATATATAACCTTTAGCCTCCAATTCGATACATTTAGCCTAAAATATATATCCAAAATATTAGTATTCTCGAGCTCTTTAGCAATTGTGGTGTTCACTTCTTCGTGTGGAAACAAGCAGCTCTTCTCAGTACTCCCGCCACCGTCGTTGCTACTGCTGGTTGCCGCTGCCGCCGCCGCCACAATTGCTGCAACATCATGGCAGACGTCTACTCTCTCGGCCATGCAATGCAGCTCCATGCTCTAATCATCAAAACCAGGAACAGTCACCACCATTACTCTTCCCCTGGACACTCCTTCGCCACCAACGCCGTCGTCCGAGCTTACGCCCGGTCCGAGCGGCCCCGAGATGCCCTCCTCTTCTTCCTCCACCTCCAACAACACGCCCCCCTCCCCGACCACTTCACTGTCACGTTCCTCCTCGCCTCCTGCGCCCGTCGCTGCGCCGCCTCCGAGGGCCGGCAGCTCCACGCCCTGGCCCACAAGTGCGGCTTTAAAGCCGATCGCCACGTGCAGAATTCCCTCATCCACATGTATTGTAGCTGCGGCCAGGTCGACCAGGCAGCCAAGGTATTCGACGGAATGGCTAATAGGGACGTCGTCTCTTGGACCTCCATGATCGGGGGAGCCGTCGAGGTGAACCGACCTCTCTATGCACTTCGTTTGTTCGACTCCATGCAGAGCGATGGAGTCACCCCAAATGATGTGACAGTCATGTCTGTACTCGGAGCTTGTGCAGAGGTGGGATCTCTAAGCGTTGGCCGCCGAGTGCATCAGATGACTGTACAAGCAAGGCTTGACTCTAAACCTAAGGTTGCAACGTCTCTGATAGACATGTATGCAAAATGTGGCTGCATTGTCTGTGCAGAGAGGCTATTTGAACAGATGGGCAATAAGGATGTTTACGCATGGACAGCCATGATTTCTGGACTTGCAAGCCATGGGAGGTGCGACGATGCTCTCAGCCTGTTCCATCAGATGGTAGACGTGGGAGTGCAGCCTAACGAGAGGACTGTCACTGCAGCACTATGCGCTTGCAGGAGTGCAGGGTGGGTCACAGAGGGCTATCGTATCTATAATTACATGCATCGGTATGGGCTGAGGCCAAAGATTCAGCATTACGGATGCATGGTTGATCTACTTGCCCGAGCTGGGCATTTAGATGAAGCTGAAGGATTTCTTCGAAGGATGCCAATAGAGCCTGACAGTGTTTTGTGGAGGACACTGATTTGGGCATCAAGGTTACATGGAGAACATGACCGAGCAGAGCGTCTGATGACAGAGTGGCAGCAGCTTGAGGTGAACACAACTGATAGTGGAAGCTACGTGCTGATTGGTAATATATATGCTTCTATGGGGGATTGGGGAAAGAAGGCAAGAATTAGGGAGTCAATGGCTTCTAAAAATATCAACAAACTCCCTGGTTATAGTAGGATAGAAGTTGATGGAGTGTTACATGAGTTTGAGGCAGGGGATAGCGGGCATCCGGAAGCACATAAGATATATGAGAAAATCAATGAAATGATGGAGAAAATAAAATCGGAAGGTTATCATCCCAAAGCATCTGAGGTGTTGCTTGATATGGAAGATAATAAGAAAGTTTTGCAACTGCATCACCATAGTGAGAGACTTGCAGTGGCATTTGGGTTGCTCAGCACTAACCCAGGGGAGAAAATCCTGGTTGTGAAGAACTTGAGGTCTTGTGAGGATTGCCACACTGTAATGAAGCTTGTTTCTAAGGTCTATGATCGGGAGATAACCGTTAGGGATAGAATCAGGTTCCATCACTTCATCAATGGTTCCTGTTCTTGCAGGGATTTCTGGTAAAAGGTATCATATTGGTCAAAAGAAACATCATGAAAGACTAAGATCTTGTGAGGGTTGCCACATTGTGATGAAGATTGTTCCTAAGGTCTAGAATTAAAGAGATAACCATTATGGATTCCACCACTCCAGCATTAGTTGTTGCAGGGATCCTTGGTAAAGGGTATTGGATTGCTCCAAAAAGACTTCAGGATTCGGTGGCCAAATGCAGGACTGGGGCCATATTTCTGTTGCCTGAAACTATGACTTAGAGCTATGGATATAGAATGGTATAAGACATAAGATCCTTCTCACCTTTTATAGATTCTGCATAATCCTGGTAATTAACATCACATAAATGGTTCAGAGTCTTCTCTCTGATGGAATAGCACTTCCTTTTGTAATATACTTGGCAATTAGAATTAAATTAGTAAAAAAAAAGCTATAAATTTTATGCTAAGAAGAGCTACAGATGTAAGCATGCACAAGTATCAATATTCTGGCAGAGAGTGCCTTGGATTGGCTTCAATGATAGGTCACCATACTATCAATGTCATGAAAATTGCCTGCTAACATTTTCAATTATTAGCAATTGTTTGTAATGGAAGTAGTGTGCTGGTAGCATTTTAAAATATAGCAATGTTGTGAGAGTTTCCATTCCAGAACACTTTATGCAAACTTTAGCTTGCCCACCAAATGGATTTGTGATGGCATCAATAATTGAAAATGCAATGAGGAACTATAGGCAAATGCACATCTTATTATCATAAAATATTATTAAAATGTGGTCAGGTAATATCGATATAATACTGTAGGATGCTAGATTTAGTTGAAGCCATATATAGATTACTTGTGCTTGCAGTATGATATGCTTAAAAGGTGATTTTGTAGGCTGTTAGTTCAGCTTGATAGGACTGAGATTTACTGAACGGGGGGTTCTATCCGTGCTTTTGACATTAAGGTCAGATATATTTTGTTGAAGCTCATGCAATTTTAACTAGAAGAAATTTACTGCATCTGCAATTGGAATATCAAGCTCATTTACCTTCAATTTTATCATTATATCAAAGATGACGATGGTCAGATGGACATAGTACTGTCTTATATTTAAATCATAACCTGAACCCACGAGCATCACTGCATTCAATTGGATATTTCTTTCTGTACTTTGGCTGGTGTCTATTCTAATTGATGGATAACCATGACCATTTGTGCTTATTGATGTAGTGGTCCACTTGAGAATTAAATACTTACTCTATGCCATCGTCTCACAAGCAAATGAGAAGACATTTTTCTATCCAGTGTTAGAGAGAAAATTGGAAGCTAACTTGTAGACTCAGAAGGTGTCTCAATTTGCCATCACTAACATTGGGTCATATCAGTGTTCTTTAAACATGCACGTGCTGTTCTTGCAAGTTTGTTGGCAAAATGGATTTACATTCCTCGTGCACCAACTGATGAATTGCACATGCTGTTCTTATGATACATTAGGTTTTTCATACGCTGATGTCTTCAATTGGTCTTTGAAGTGATCCAGTGCCTAACTATTATCTGTAGATTTCTGTTGCAAAGTATTTGATTGAAACATGCCCCAAGCTCAAGTGGTTTGATGGTCATGATCAAGCTTTTAATGATGGAAGTCACCAAAGATTTCTACCATCACAAACAGGTACCAAGTGTGCCCACTAACCAAGGTTGCATTTTTCCTTGCATCTGCCTAAAAACTTTTTTCATGAATGGATGTGTACACATTTTCACTACTTAAGCTGTACTATAAAATTCTGAAGCATTTCTTGACATGCACCCAGATCTCAATATAAAGATCTTGATAGGTAATTTCATCATCCCAACATACTTTTATATGTAGGGTAGATTCTTAATTTCTTATTGTATTTTAAACACCATCCATGTTCACCCACCTGTTTGTCTTCAAACGTTAAAGTTCTCTTTTTCAGCAAAGCATTATCAGCAATGACAAAGAAAGAGGTATCATCAAGCAATAGAAAAGTTCCATGGAACGTAACAAAGGAAGAAGTATCAGAATTTGCATTTTATTCTTCTGATGCAAATTAATCTCAGGAGGAAAAATATTGATCTTCTGTTGCATACTGGATTTGCCAGAGTTTTTTTGCATCCAAAGATGCAAATCCAAGTACAAACATAACTTTTGAACAGAAGATGGCAGAACCTGCATTATTTCCATTGGACAGAATGTTATGCAAATATCATCTTTATGGCAAAATTAAAATTAAGCATTGCCCAGATGATTTGTAAGCGATTGACAATCACCTGATTTTAATTGCAACTTCTCAGGTCTAGTATTTTATGTTCATCAGATTATATTATTCAACAGTGTTTATCACAATTGATTAATGTATGCTTGCTACAGGTCCCATTTGGCTTATTGGAACTATAATACAAACAGAATCATGCTTTCTAATTTCGACAGTGTGTGCATCTGCTTTGCTTGTGCTTCGCTCATGTGGTATTCAATAAGATAATAGATTAGTGCATGTTTAGCATGGGAAATGGATTAAAACTGAAAGCAACAGCCTTTTGTATCCATTGATGTCCTATTTTTCGTGATTTTGTAAAAATATGAAACAATGTGGATACTTTGATCAAATAGGAAAACCATGTACAAAATGACCTCAGATATTTCACTGCTTTCACTTGGTGAATTAAGTACATGTTGAGATTTCAAGGAAAGAAATCCTCCGTTTTTTTCCAGTATAAAATGACCTAGATCTGATGTTTCATTGTTTTCACTTATTGAATTAAGTTCATATGTTGAGTTTTTCGGGGAAAGACATCCTCTTTTTTTTTGCGAGTCAAACTTTTAAGTTATCTACTATATGCATCCTTCTCTGCATGAGTGGTGCTGGACAAATTTACAAGTTTAGCTCCAAATTTTCTTGGTTAATTCCTAGATATTATCTGAGTATCTGGTTTTCTAATTGAACTGTGAAAATATATTTCTGCCTGAATTATTTTGTTCAATTTTCTAGGTGAGTGTTAATGTCATGTTTCAGATGCCAAAACAGACTGGAAACCTGTTTTGATGATGTGGAATAGCCGTAAGTGTATTTCTTTCTGCTCTAACTCAAGTGCCAAGATGTTAATCCCAGATCAGAAGGTGAGTGTCTCAAACACCTTCTCCCTATAGTTCGAGTACCAAAGATTTATATGCGTAATTCTTGTATGAGTTTCTTCTTTGTCAGCCAACATCACTTGGTTCAAAATGTTCACTAATCACGGGACAAATGATTGTGTGGATTGGTTTTCCTCAACTTTAATAATAAGAAGGCAGTACTTAGTTTTGTGCCTTTGGTTCATTTGTCATGACCTAAGCATGTTTCTTTTTTTTTTTTTTCTGATATCATAACAAGGCAGCAGTCAATTTTGTGCCCTTGGTTTTTTCTTCATGGCCTAAGCATTTCTTTTATTTTTCCTGGAAATCATATTTTTCAATACCCTTAGAACTTGGCTTCAGGTGGTGATATATTTTTCAACTCCTTTACCATCTACAGTCTTTTGATTGCTAATATATTTCCCTAGAGTGAAAATTACTTTACAGATTCAATCATTGATTCTTGCCCTCAAGCAACAATGTCAAAAATCTGAATCCAAAGATATCGGTAATTGAAAATTCCTCAGGTGAAAGCACTAGAACTATTGGATACCACTGATGTATTCACTGTGCTCATATGGTTGCTTGCTTCAGCAGATTCCAACCCAGAAAATGTATGCAACATGGACAGATCAAATAGAAATCCACCTTATCAACATGTTCAACTTGTTTTTCTCATGAGCAGTCATTAGTGTGGCCAGCCAGCAAAGTCCAAGTAGAAAAAGGAAAGGACAGACATCAGCAACAATGATTCCTTATATTATATTTCTTGGAGCTCACTGATTAAGATGTCTACTCTCTTTTATAGTATGTATTCAAAGTTCAAACAAACATGAAGACCCGTCATGCTTTTGTCATGGACCAAACTATCCAAATTATTTTTATACTCCACATGTTGCCAGTCAGTCAGTATATCTTTCAATCACTCTGACTCTTGAACTGTTTCCCACACAGTGGAGTTATTGATCAGTTCTAATAATGTCATTGTATAGAGAGAGAGAGAGAGAGCAGTTTGGATCAACATGAACTGTTTATTATATTTTAAATAAATAGATTACCTAACCATGATTCTTGATGCAGATGCAGAAAATAGACCATACAGAAGCCAGCATGTGACACTCTTCATGGCATTCAGACAAAGTCATGTTCTTCAGACCACTCTGGGCTGTTCACCTTCTGCACCTGAACATGAGAACTACAACATGACAGGAAGATGGATAGAGACCAACTCATTGACAAAGCACTGATAGCACCATTCGCAGACAACAGCCTCCCTTTTACGGCATTTGTGACTTCTCTGTCTGTATGGGAACATGTCTGCTGAAGCCATGATGGGCTGGTTCATGTAAGTGAAGTTGCATGGATTGCTGAAGCTATCATTGATCTGAGGGCTGTCACAGAAAGGCCATTGCTGATGGGGTTGTTTCCATTCAAGCATTGAAGGATCTCATCAAGAGACTGCAGCCTGCTGCTGAGCTCCACCATCTGAGTCCTGAGGACAGAGTTGTCAGCCTCAACAGCAAAGTAATGGTGTGTGGTGAGGCTCAAGGATGTCAGGATCTGGCTGTTCTCCTTTCTCAGCTGGTTCAACTGTGCTGTCAGATCATCGAAGTGCTTCTGCTTCCTTATCCTCGACCGCCTTGCAGATTCGCGGTTCGATGTCATTCTCTTTTGCTTCTGGTTTATCACTGCCTGCAGATCCTGTTCGGAGCCTGAGTTTTGGAGCAGGCTGGATCCAGAAGAAGTTCCACAGGGAGAAGCCATGAAAGCTATGGTCTTTTCAGGTAAAATTTGAGTTCTTCAAGTAGTCTATTTTGATGCTAGTGCTTCAGGAAAGACTATATCTTGGCTGGAAATATAGCTGAACGGTATAGGTATATAGCAAGATTAATTCTCAGTAAAGGACTCAGGGAACAAGTTCATGAGAACACATAGAACCAGTAGAGGAAGACAACAGAGAAGGACTGAACGAGATGGGTCCTGCGCCTAAGAGTGGAACTTATCATAAACCCAGAGAGAAGGATCTCACTTATGATAGCTGACATAGATCAGAAATATCAAGAGAAACAGATGCTGCATGTGACAAGTTACCACAGGAGTTTTGAGCACGTAAACTTAAGGTCCTTGAACCAAGAGATTTCAGCAGCAAGGTGGTATTTTTACACTGAAGATTGAGCAAAGGCTAGATTTTGATGAGGTTTTGGATCCAGAATCAGAATCTATAGAGAAAATTTTGGCAGAGTTTCTCCAATAAACAACAGCAGAAAGGATCACAAGAACAGGAAGCAAAAGAGTAACCTTTCCCACCGGGACGAGGGACAGCAGCAAGAACACAGTGTGCAGTTGTTGACCAAGAAAATTCTTGAGAGAAGGCCACTAGAAGCAGGGCAAGATGGGGAAAGAAGGCTAGAGAAGAAGAAAGCAGCAGAACTTCCTGAAAGCTTAAGCTAGGAAGAAGAAGAGGAGGAAGGGAATTGGAGCCAAGCAGGGGGGTGGAATTTATAGAAGAAGCTGGATCAAAGGGAAGAAAAAACAAAGAAAGAAAAAGCTGACAAGAAAGATTTGCTAAAAAAGAACAAAGAAGGGCCGGGCCCTCGGAATCTTTTGTGTAGTAGTTGAGGGGATTCTCCAATTCATTTGAAGGTCAGAGATGGGATTTCAAGCAACATGCCAAGTGCAGGACTTGGCAAAAATCTTATTTCATCTTCTCTTAGGTTTTCACTTGGGAAAAGTTTTCTACCTTCTCCAGGTACTACCACTCAAAACACATCTAGAATCTATCAGAAAAGAACATTCACAATAGCCTCTTCTTTAAATTAGTTTTGAAAACCAGCTTTGCAGCTAATGAATTGATGATTTCTTTGGACTTATCTTGGATTCCACTGAGATTAATGCTGCTGCAAGATGAGCTCGAACAATGTAACATCAAGCTGCAGGTTAGCTCAATTATTCCACCTGCAAGTGCAGATGGTATTTTAGAGGTGAATCAAAATTTGATGTTCACACATATCTATCTGCTTACCTAATGATGCCAGTGACAGGTAAACCTATTGGATTCTTTTTCTTTATTTTTTTCTTAGCACTTGGATTCTTGTAGTCTATAGCTTGATTTTATGGCTCAAATTTATTGGTCAAATCCATGTGCTTTCAGCCAAGAGTAGGTCTAAAATAAATTTTTGGATTGTTACTATGGGAGATAATAAATGAAATGGATCATCAAGTGGCCATCTTGCATGAAAGACCCATTAATCAGTTTTGTCTTTAGTTTTGTAACTCCACATATGGTTTGGTGCATATGTCTGTCCTCATATATGCTCAACACTTACATGAATGATCTTATGGTAGCAAACAAGAGCTCCCCTTCCACCTGTCCATCTGTTTGCTTACAACTAAAACATAGGCAAATCTTTTCCATTTATTGGTTGTGTTGATTCCCATTAGTGCCTTTCCTTTCATCTACTGCATATTAAAGAGGAAAACATGTAAAAACGACTGACATTAAAGAGAGGCACCCTCAAAGCGGCATCTGGTATATCCTTCCCTCTGAAAGAATCATTCAGAGCACAACTCTAGACCATAAGATTAAATATTCTTTAATACTGTTAATATTGTTGGTGATGTATGATCATTTCATGGAGGTTGTAGTAATGTCTTTGCTTTAAATTACTCTTTGAACTACTTCACACATTCATTGCTTTGGAGCCATTTTACACAGTTAACTCTTGCTCGCAGGACAAACTATGTGAGAAACAGAGGATTAATGAAAAGAAAGATGTTCCCATATATTTCATGGATCAACACTCCTAAAGACCGGTAAGTTTCTTAACCTTGGCCATCATGCATACTTGGCTGTTCAATATAATATGTTATGAATCCATCATATACCAAAGGTAAAAAGACTCGAAGAAGAGCTTGATGGCCAAGGCTTTGTGAGGACATGAAGGCATGTGGAATATAATAGTGGCTTGGAAGATACCTCTGTCTGATCCTTTCTCCCACATGAAACTACTTGTTTTCCCATTCAACATCTACTGCATAATTAAAATCATTGCATGCATTAGTTTATATATATATATATATATATATATATATATATATATATATATATATATATATATATATATATGCCTCCAAAAAGATTATGACCGTCGGATTAGACCAGGATTGGTTGATCTGGTGGACCTGGTCCATCCAAGAATATTTTCAGGAAGCCACAGGATCCAATGGCTAGGCTTCAGCCACGTTGAGCTTTGGATCCCACAACGCCGGCCTTTTGGGTCCCGCGGAGTTGGGGCCCGTGGGGCCCAGCTAGAACATATATAATACTGGTACTCGCACGAGTCAACAGAGAAACAGAGAGAGAGAGAGAGAGAGAGAGATGGTGGTGGTGGAGATGGCGGAGGCGAACACGAACACCTGCTTCCGTGGCTGCTGCAGCAGCTCCTCCATTCCCCTCCACCTCCCAGCCTCCTCGTTCACCCTCCTCTCCCCCATCGCGAAAGGTAAGTCTATACTTAATTCTGCTAATCCTCGTCTTCTTTTTTCCCTCTTGCGTTCGTGAATTGATCGATCGATCTCGATTCCGGGAATCCAAAGGTGCCGAGAGCACCGTCTACGAGGCGAGGCTCCACGATGGAACCAGGGTCGCCGCCAAGAAACCCGTCCTCTCCACCGCCGACGACATCGACCGCTTCCACCGCCAACTCCAGCTCCTCTGGTCCGTGCATGCCCAAGATTTGTCTTTTCGCGTGGTTTTGATTCTTATTTTTGATTTTTTTTTTGTAATTGTTGTACTGGGTGAAGTAAGCTGGATCACCCGCGGCTAGCGAAGTTGGTGGCGGCGAACGCCAGGCCGCCCAACTACCTGCTCTTCTTCGAGCACTACGAATCGAGGAGCGTGGCCGAGAAGTTGCATGTCGAGGAGTGGAGCCCTAGCGTTGATCAAGTGATCGCCATCGCTTATGACCTAGGTGCGCATCCGCTCTGGATCTTGGTTCTTGACTACTGATTTTACTTTGTCCTCGTTATGTTTCGTTAATTGGGGCTAGAAAGGTTTCTGTACCACGTAGTTCTGTTCCTAGCCTTTTCAGAATGAAACACCGCAGATAAGGTCGTCAACTGTTGGCTCAGATCCTAGCACTGATCCGATGTTATCTACTTCTTGCAATGCTTTGTTTCGCCTGCCTAAAGATTTCCTTTCAGAAAATGCATAATGTAATCTAATTTTTTTTAGACGTGCTTGCTTTCATGTTTATGCTGTAAATATTTGTGATCTTGGGTTAATTACATTTTTTTTATGTGCTTCACATATACACGTGCACACAAAAAAAAACACAGTAGGGTAACAAGTATTTTCCATGGATGTCCATAACTAGTTTGTCCCAAGCAGTACATTGTTAATCTGGACTTATGTGAAGGATTGACCAAATACTCAATTTGAGTTGTAACGGACATCACTTAATTTGAGTTGGAAGGGAAACCACTGCACTTCTTTTGGCCCATTATTATGTTTTTCCCAGGGTACCTTTTTTAACCTCTTGTTGACTCTGTATGCATTTTCGTTTCCTTTTTCAGCAAAAGCTCTTCAATACCTACACAGCCTTGGAATTGTACATAGAGATGTTAAACCTGCAAATATTCTTGTAAACATCTCTATTCTCTCTTCTTTTCATCATCTTGAATGACGTGTAACCTTAAGCCAATATAATCCTCTAGCTGGTCCATGGTGCAGCTTGACAGGAACCTTTATCCACACCTAGCTGATTTTGGTTTGGCCACATATAAAAAGGATCTTAAACATGTATCAGTTGCGAATTGGAGATCAACTGGCAAGCCTACCGGTGGATTTCACAAAAGGAACATGGTGGGAACTCTCATCTATATGGCGCCAGAAATTCTAAGGAAGGATATTCACACAGAGAAATCAGATGTCTACAGTTTTGCAGTATCTATCAAGTAAGACAGTCATATTTATGCATTCATGTATTAACTATCATGCCTGTTCGATTTAAGTATTTGTAAAGTATGTTACATGTTCGAAAAAAAGCTTCCTGTTATTTACATATCCTATTATGATATCAATAATTATATTAATCGATATCTAGTTTATTAATTTTTCATGTTTAATTAAGACAATCTGTAGCATAATTATGAATTTTTGCATGGACATTTTGTGCTGCTACAGTTTCCATAAGTATTTAACAATTTGGCTTTGTTATTTTGTGCATGAGCTGTCAGTGTTATGATTCTTCTGTAACCTTCTGCAGTGAGCTTCTTACTGGAGTTGTTCCTTACACAGATCTACGAGCAGAAGCCCAGGTACCGTTGAAACTTTTGATGTCATATCTTAATATTTCCATATAAGTGAAGCTAAAATGTGCAAGTGGGCAGACAGTTATTATGATAACAATAATATAATCCAGTTACTTCTAAGCTTCATTACATTCTTTATCTCATGTTGCTAGGTGGTTATTTTTTTAAGTTATGTCATAAACATATTCCACTCATATCAGTATTTAAGTTCATGGCTTGAGTTTTAATTTTTTCAGAATGATCACTGATAATGATTTAATAGCATAACCACCATTCTCTTAGGCCCACACAGTGCTTGAAATGAGCTACACCGAACAACAACTTACAGCAGCAGTAGTCTCCAGTGGTTTGCGGCCTGCTCTCGCTAACCCTGAATCTGGTGCTCCGCCAAGTCTATTATCTCTTATTGAAAGGTCTTGGGATCAAAATCCTTTGAATAGGCCTTCTTTTGATGATATAGTCAAGGAATTGTACTCACTCATGAAGCATAGAGACATATCTAGTTTACCATTATTTACTCCCAATGATCAATGTCAAGACAGCAACGATGACCTCAAATATATTCAAGAAGATTTGAATTGGTTATCTCATGGAGAAGAAGTAGCCAAGAAAGCACTTGCTGAAAAATCAAATATTACATCCTGGTCTAGTTCTGTTCATGATTCTCTACAGTACAAGCCAGTTTTGTCTTGGGGATCATTTGCAACATGTGGAAGAAGGGAGAAAATGGAAGATGCACATTTCATGCTTCCACACCTGTGCAATGAGAAGGATGTTCATGCTTTTGGAATCTTTGATGGTCATCGAGGTGCTAAATTGATTCTATTCCTTTTTCGTATTGTGAAAACAGAGACTATTAACTAAAACTCTGACACGTCCAGGTGCAGCAGCTGCTGAATTTTCTTCTAGAGCACTGCCAGGATTCCTACGGAATTCTGATTATATATGCAGGTTTCTTTCTGTTGCATACTTATGCTAAAGTTTTGTTCTCTTTGCTGTCATTTAATTACTAGATCAATTGCAGTCCTGCAGATTCACTTATTGAAGCTTTTCTAAAGACGGACTTAGCATTCAGGGATGAGCTAGTGTTGCACTGTAACTCGAGAAGAATTACTCAGAAAGATTGGCATCCTGGTTGCACGGCAGTTACAGCACTAATAGTGGGGAACAAAATTTTTGTTGCAAATGCTGGTGATTGTCGGGCAATTATAAGTCGTTCAGGCAGCCCATTTCCAATGAGTAAGGTGTGAAACATGACATAAGTCTACTTTAGTTATTTAAATAATTTTCCTGAAAAATGGAGATCAGAATGACAAATTGCAATTATAGTATACTCAGATTTTTTGTTTCCAGAGCAACATCAGTTATCATGCCTTACTGATATTGGTAGGATCATGTTGCAAGCTGTCCTGAGGAAAGAATGCGTGTCATGGGAGAAGGTGTCGAAGTGAAATGGCAAGTAGATACATGGAGGGTTGGACCAGCTGCACTTCAGGTGCATTATTTCCTTCAGTATCTGGATACGTTGCTGTTTCTCTGGAATTGTGTTACATAGGTTGATCTGCCGAAAAAGTGAAATTATAACATGCTTACATATTTGAGTGTCTCATCGGTTGAGCCAACAGACAAATTAATTATCTTATATAGCTGATGTATCTCTTTTCCATTATCAAATTTAATTTTAATAACTTCCTCTTGTCAGGTTACACGATCAATTGGTGATGATGATCTAAAGCCTGCAGTAACAGCGAATCCTGAGATAATTGTTACTTGTATTTCGGCAGATGATGACTTCCTGGTAAGTTTTGGATGGCTACTAAGTTATGAGTTTTAAGCAAGGCTACCTTTACGTTGCTTCCTCATTTATATGCTGTATGATTTTCTCTTAAATACATATATTCTATGTGATAGTCATATCTGCTGGCCTTGTTTTGATAAATTTGGGTTTGCTTAACTCAAATAGAGATGAAGGTAAGCATAGCCGCTATATTCATGATTTTTTTCTTTTCTTGTCATTTATGTTGAGAACTAAATGAATGCTACTGCTCCTAGTACATGTGATCTTAACCTTCATATGGACTTCTCCCAAGGAGCAGTTTTGCAGGATTGCTCCTGCTCCCTGTATACATGAGCTTCCAAGAATAATGACTCGTCCAACATGCCCAATGACAGTTTAGATTCACTTGAACTTGCTTGGTTAGATATTTTGACACACCCATCCTCAGAATGTTGATATCTCATATCAGATATGAATTTCATTGATATTTATCAATTACTGCAAGTATCTTTCTCAACTGGCATTATGCTGTATGGTGGACCTCAAATTGCTGTGAAAGTTTTGGTTGACGACCAATTCATTCAATTCTTCAAAATGTGCATTAAAGATTGGCTAAATTAAGCTTTACCTTCTGCAGTTTTCATCTATCATCTGAAGTAATCCTGTAATAGATTGGCTAATGAGTTTGTTTACAAAATTTTGTTTTCTTCATCCTGAAATTGGTTGCTGCATCTGTCATTTGGTCAGTGGGCTCTTGTATGTTGGTAACTGCCATGTTGGAATGTGATTCTTCCACAAGTGATTTTGGATTTTATGAATAATCTATGGAGGCCCCGATCAAATTGGATTTATTGGGGCCAAGAAGAAGACAAAATAGTTTGATTAGCTGCAGACCCTATGTTGATCTTTTTTTTTCCTTGGATTGCTTATGCACAGATATAATTTCATAAGTTAGGCTACGTATGCATTTTAATGAAGATTCTGTTGTCCACAGATTCCACAAGTCGTCTTCATTCCATATGTGTTGACTATTGATTAGGTCACAGAGGCCTACATTTTGATCATCGACCTCAGATATGCTTTTCTTTCTGTGGCCACTACAATTGCATCTATGCATGCACGTCATCTATCTATCTAATATTCTCATGGCAAACAGAGTGCTATTGGTGGATTTACATGTTTCCAACCACCCATCAACTAGTTCAACTTACTATGACAATTAATGACTGCAAAATTATAGTGCAGACCTTTGTAACAGAATTATGAAATAAGTTATTCTATGATAAGATTTGCAAGGATTTGTTTACTGCAGAATAGATTGGAGTCTTCTGGAATATTAACAGAATGAAGAAAATTACAGTCTGAAGAATACTTATATGTGTCAATGGGTAATCATAAGTCCATGAGACCTGTAAATATGTTTACTACATCTGTTTGGCCAAAAAATGTGTAAGCACCAGAATATAGTGTCGTAGAAAGATGTAGATTATGATGGAGAACTAAATTGCTGACCACTTTCATGTGGCCTTTGCAGGTGCTGGCTAGTGATGGACTCTGGGACGTAATAAGCAATGAGGAGGTGGTGTCCATCATTAAAGACACTGTCAAGGAGCCGTCAATGTGTTCGAAGAGGCTGGCCACCGAAGCTGCTGCACGTGGCAGCAAAGACAACATCACGGTCATTGTTGTTTTCCTTCGTCCAGTCTCAACTGCCGAGAGAATTTATTAGCGTGCGAGGAGCCATATGTTGCGCATGCGATTGTGCTTCGTCTTGGTGGCTGATGAATGTGGCAGCAAAGATACCATCACAGCCAGGAGAAGTCACTAGCTTTGGAGGAGTCATACCGTACACACGCAATTGCAATTCACTTTCTTAGCTGCATTGTTTTTACTCGATTCTTTACCAGTTGTAGATTTCAATAGATCCAGACAAGGTGGAAAGTGTCTGAAGGAAATAGTGATTGTCTTGACCTTTCTTGATTCCTTTTTTGCTCTGAAGTAGGCTACTATTGATGTGGTTTTTATGTAAAATTATTCGATACTCCTTTAACATTTTTTACTCTCAATTACTGTTCAACCCCATAATGCAACAATTCCTTCATGTTATTAATGAAGGGATTGCATATGGAGAAAAATTGTTACTCCATGGCTATTTTGAGAAAGAACTGTGATCTTGATTTGTTGTTCTGGACATATAAAACAAAACTGTGATCTTGATGTTGCTTGAGAGAAAACTTGGCGATCCATGTCTTGGTGTCGATGTGCATTTAGATCAAGTCAATAAGAGATACCTGACCTGTACTTGTTTCTCTGCTGCTTCTACATCTCCCTGCGTGGCCTTCTTGCTAAGGCTGATTGATGTGAGCGCCTCTTATTTTCTTACAGACGAGATTACCTCTAGCTTTTGCCCCGTTGTTGCTCATCAACTCCATCACCATGAGGCCGCTCATCCATGTCCTCGTTGCCTTTGCCTTCGTCACCCTTCAACGTCGCCTTTGCCTTTCCACGAGGCCTTCTACCTCATGATGCTATTGTGGAGCACCCTCTCGAGCACCATCATCTCATCTTGAGAGTGTTAAAAAGATGAACATATGGATAATATGGGATAATGTCATCGTACGAAAAGGGTCAGATAACTGAAATCATAGGTAACACAAAGCAATCAACATTTATTAGGCACATGCAGACTCAATATTCACCTAGCATTGACGTGGAATAGAAAATAAATACACTAAAGATATTGTATCTCCCCTCACACAAATAACTAAGGCTTGATTCGCCCTAATACCATCAAAGGGTTTCTAAGGTATTGAGACAGCTAGTGTTTTACACCGTAAGATCATTAATTAATAGTCAATCCATGGCACATGAGAATGATTCTGTTTAGACTTTTCTTTTTCGTGTAACGCCAACACAGAAATATTTGCAAGTACTTTTTATCTCGTGCATGCTGCTAATGAGAGAACATTCAAAAATAATAAAAATAATATAAAACAAAAAATCAAAAGTATATTGATTGTATTACTCCATAATGCTACCCGTCACCTCCTGCTCCCAACGTTAAGCGATCACATAGAGATGATGAGACCTCACGGTGGAATGAACATAATAGAGATAACGATAAGGGTGCACAGCGAGGACAAGGGCACACAAGTGAGACAGGACAAAGACGACAAGTGATAGCAAGTGGTTGAGGTGGCATCAATGGGATAAAGGTCAGAGATAATCTCTTTTTTTTTTAAATAAGAGGTATTATGCGAGAATAAAATAAAATTTATGTTCCGTAGAAAGAAAAGAAAACTTATTTTTTTGAGATTTGTGTGTGTATATATATATATATATATATATATATATATATATATATATATATATATATATATATATAGAGAGAGAGAGAGAGAGAGAGAGAGAGAGAGAGAGAGAGGAATGACGTGACGACATTGGAATTAATTTATTCTCATTGGAATCTTGGCTACCACAAAACCCACACGTCTCATTCCTTCTTCCCCATGGAAAGAACCAAGTTTCTCACTGCTTGACCAGTAACTCAGCGTCCCACTTCCCGCAACACACACAGTAAGGCTACAGGAGGGACACGCTCTCCTTGCTGTCGTCGGCCGGCATCAGATCATCGTGGTGTCCGGAATCTTGACCAAACCATCGGACACATCGAATTCAAGAAAGATAACAGAGAGAAACATGCCGCTATCGACGGGGATCGGCGGGGCGGTGGTCCATCTGGCCCATCTTCTTCCTGCGCTTGGCCGCCTTCCTCGCTCCCGACGTCATGGCGATGGACCGATAATTACTAGCAGCATCGAATCCATTCTTCTTCTTCTTCTTCTTCTTCCACCATCAAATTCGAAAACAAGTTCCTGCTTTAACTCAGAAACTCTGTGCTTCCATTCCAAACTCTGATTTGGCATAAGGTTTCAGGATCAATAATCAAGAAACAGATGAGGATGGGGAGGAAAGTTGAGAACTTCAAGGTGGTCTATGATAGTGGAGTGGATTTAGTAAGGAGATATCGAATTGATTATTAATATATTATTACATAAGTAATAGATCTCAAATTTAAATTTATGTATTAGCATCATATTATTTAATATAGTAAAATTTTATTTAAAAAATTAAAATTAGTTCATCATAAAATTTTTTGACTGTTATTATTATTATTATTATTATTATTATTATTATTATTATTATTATTATTTTACCTCCCACTAGTGCTACTATCTTCTAAATTGAATTCAACTTTGTATGTGCAAAGTTGGTCGATTGTTATCATAGTCAATATTAATATTGTGTTAGCATATGAACTTTGTGTAAGGAATCATACGAGTTTTCGGAAAGACGAATGTGGTCTAAGTATAACTCAAGCGGTAAAACTCAATCTAGTGAAGAGAAAAAATTAAGAGGTACATAAATATTATTGTCAGATAAGCACCTTTATTTTAATTTGATAAGGAATTACTTTTTTGTTATCTCTCAGCATTAGTGTTCCTAAGCAAACACGAGATTGTGTAGAGTGTGATTCATGTTTCAAAGAGCTTATTCATAGTTTTATAATGGCTATAAGAGAGAGAGAGAGAGAGAGAGAGAGAGAGAGAATCCAAATGATAAATTTAAAATACCATATCAATACATTTCAAATATAAACAAATACAAATTTTACACATTTAACAATAGATCATTTTTCACAATAAAGGGGAAAAAAATAAAAATAAAAAACAGAAATCAAGCACACTCCAATTTGACTTATTACCACACCAAAGACACAACACAAGCATACAGACCAAACTTGATGACCACCCAAGGCTTGCAATGGCATCAGGTCCTTCACCTTCTGCCAGATATCCCTCCATGGATCGCAAGAATGTACACCAGCTGTGTGGCTGACAGAATGATCAAGAAGGCCTCCATTGTCCTCTGCAAGTTACACAAGCCAGCCATTTCATCAGCCTTGCTTTGCATGCGATAGCTTTGAAGTGAGAAAGTGCACTCTATCTTTCTTTCGCACGAGGCGAAAAGAAAGGTTCAATTTGACCATCTCCTTCTTATATCGAGCAAACAGATCGATGGCAGGCATATCACTGTTTGATAGCTTTTTAGCTCAATGCTTGCAAGCATCTAAGTCACTGTCACCTACTGAGCACAAAGGTAGATAGATTTGCATCTTACCAGGCGAGTGTTTCTTCCCTCCAAATTGATCTCTTTGCAAGCCAGACTGCAAGTTGTGTTGGATATGTTATCAGATTCTCGTAGTAGAGGAAATGGATTAGTAGAGCGGCTTCACTTACCCCATGGCAAGAAGAGTTAGGCCCCAAGCTATCACGGCTGAGGACGCAGCAGACGGCAAGGTATCATAGTTCCATCTGCGGGCATGCTGGATTCCGGCGATGGCCGCCGCGGCGCCCACGACACCAGCTATCAGCGCAAAGATCACGAAGAAGCCCGTGGCCTGGTTGCCCATCGGGAAGTAGACCGGGGAGAAGTGAGCTGGTAGTGCAAGGCCTTGACCTGCCGGTATCAGAGAAGGAACACAGCAACCGTGAGACCCAGAAGCTAAGGTGGCACCGATCATGGTGGTGCTTCATGGCTCGTGCATGGCCTGACGGCAAGAATACCTATCGTGAACCCGTGATCGATGGCGAAGTTGAGCGCCCATCCGCCGATTGATGCCACGATGACGTACATGCAGAAGTTGAGGAACAGCAGAAGCGAAGCGACAGGCTTCATCCCCTCGGCCGCCATTGCAAGGTGGAAGATGATGAGGGTGATGGATGGATCGATGACGCCGCCTCTGCTGCTGCTACCGCTGCTGCTGCTGCTGCTGCTGCTTATATAAACTGGAGGTGGCGCCTGCCAGCCAGGTTTTGTTCCTTGCTTGTCAGGCCATGGAAGCATTGAGTGCCCGTGGGGATAGGAAGAAGGAAGCTTTAGATTGAAGGAAGCTGATGTATTTGAGCTTTACATTATCGACTCTGTCATCTTTCTTTCTTTGGAGGGGATTCCTTCAGACACTTGCACTTTATTCTTCTTCTCGATCCCAACTCATAGTTTACTGAAGCAAAGCAATGTCAGGTTCCTTTCGATTCTTCTTAATTAAACGGAAAGCAGGAAAGCTGTTGCTGTTTCAATTTGTTCTCTTAGATCGAACACCTTTCACAGAATCCAATGTGTTTAGCTCATCATCAACAGTGCGATGCGGTGGATAGTTAGACAGACTGGACATGTTTGCTTGGATCTTGCTGGGCTTTTTGTTTCTGACACTCAGTTGAATCACTGTCACAGAAGGAATTCCCAAAGAGCAGCAAAGATGATGACACATATATATATATATATATATATATATATATATATATATATGTGTGCCTCTAAATGCTTCTGATCTTTCATCCTAAATGGATAACCAAAAATGTTTTAATAAGATCCTATTGTTAAGTATTTATCACTAACATCTAATCTAATATGAAAACATAATTCAAAAAAATCTTCTCTAATTTCATTAATCATGTCTTTCCGGTCATATGTGAATATTTATACTTTGTGCCAAGTCGAGCTGTACTATATAACATCCATCGCCTATGACAACAATTAATTAAAAGATTAGCAAAGATTTAAGGAGTCGATTGGCAAAAGAAGTAAGAGCTTAGTTTAGATGCCTACGTTCATTAAATTATGCTCGTTAATGATAACTTCAGTGACGGATGGCTCTCATTAATGTTAGGCGTAAAGTTTGATGAGACTCTTATTCTGTTCGTATGTGGTCCGAATGGAGTACCGTCGTATCCTGAGAAGTCAAACAAGTCAACAGGATTTGACCCACCTTTCAAATCACTCAGATCGCATGCGCTGCGTGTCAACGGCAGGAGAGAGCTGAGAGCCGTCCGATGTCTTCTGGCTTTCTGTCAACGTCGTCGAGGTCTCCATGTGATCCTCGTTGACTTTTGCTTCCGCCGAACGCCAGTACCAAAGGTATCAGAAGTCAACTCTCTCTCCCCCTCTCTCTCCTTCAATCCATAACTCACTTTTACCTACCCCTCTGATGAGTTCGACGAACCACACCAATCCCACCTGCAGATATTGCCGTATTGTACGGTGTAGGAAATGGCTATTAGCCAGTGGTGTCGCCTCCGGACCATCGGCCACGGCTCCACCGCCACCGTCTCCCTCGCCATGACCTACCCCTCCGGACACCTTTTCTCCGTCAAGTCCTCCGAGCTCTCTCTCTCCGCTCTCGTGAGGAGAGAGCAGGCCATTCTCTCTTCTTTGCACCACCCCAACATCGTCTCCTGCCTCGGCTTCAACGTCGCCGCCGAAGCTCCTCACGGCCGTCTCTTCTACCACCTCTTTTTGGAGTACGCTCCCGGGGGTTCGCTCTCGGATTGTATGAAGAAGCACGGTGGCCTCCTGGAAGAGGCCGTGATCCGGTCCTACACGCACGACATCCTTCATGGCCTCGCTCACCTCCACGCCATGTTCGTGGCGCATTGCGACGTCAAGAGCCAGAACATCCTGATATGGCCGGAGGGACGCGCCAAGATCGCGGATCTCGGTTGCGCGCGGTCGGCCGCGGGCGACGACGATGCCCGGTGGCCGATCATGGGCACGCCAATGTTCATGGCGCCGGAGGTGGCGCGCGGGGAGGAGCAGGGCGCCCCGGCCGATATATGGTCGCTTGGGTGCACGGTCATTGAAATGGCCACCGGTCGACCGCCTTGGCCTGACGTCGTCGACCCGGTCGCAGCCCTGCACCGCGTTGGATTCTCCTCCGAAGTCCCGAACCGCCCCGGCTGGTTGTCGGAAGCCGGCAAGGACTTCTTGGACAAGTGCTTGAGGAGAGACCCGAGAGAGCGGTGGACGGCGGAGCAGTTGCTGGAGCACCCCTTCGTGGCGAAGACGAGTCCAGCGGACTGTTGCTTCCTGGAGAGCACTTCGAATCAGGTGGTGGTCTCCCCAAAGAGCACACTGGAGCAGGGTTTATGGGACCCTGTAGCAGAGGAGGAAGAAGGAGAAGAGGTGGCACGTCGATCCGACAGCCCGGCGGAGAGGATGCAGCAATTGGCAGGTGACGGCTTTCCGGCCATCGATTGGAGGTGGGGCGACAACTGGATCACAGTTAGGAGCAGCGAAGAGGAATCTGCATATGCTACAGTACATGATGACGATGAACTCAACACCAACAGCATCATCGATCACATTACTTCAGAGGCAAAGCATGGTGTTCCAGAATGTAATTATGATGCCGTATACTTGTTGATGGTGACAATGATACTGTGTTTTATGCTCATCTTCTGCATCTCAATGAGTTCTTCACCATTTTCCACATTCATCCCCATCAGCAATTAGTAACACCGCATTCTGAAACCTCACGCATGCAACAAGGCCAGGACTTTCATCGAACAGATGGTTCATTGCAACCCGTACGGCATCTTCCGATGGTGCAACATCAACTGCAGCTCCATCACAGAGACACACGGCAATCCAAGCGTGGCGACCAGATGGAGAAGGTGATTGCTCAGTTGCGACAACTTTCAAATGCCACACTTGTTCGTTGGAGTGCCTTGTCATCTACATTAAGGAATTGCTGGGTAAACAAAGCACTAATGCCTCTCCTCTTCTCAGTGTGTTGCTACAGTTTGTGTTACTATGACATTCCTCTTTCTAATAATCTCTGACTCAATCTTGCAGTTGTTCTGAGAAAAGCTGGTGTTTCTTTGGAAGTCTAATTATGGTTGATCATTAAGTCAAATTTGTTTGCAGAGTTTCCATACTCTCTGGTCTTATTGATAGTGGCGGTCAATGTGCAGTATTAGATAAGGACATGCTTGGCGAATTAGGGAATGCAGCCACTGGTCATTGCATATTTTGGGTCATTTATTTCTATTTCCTCTGTTTTTTTCAATCCCCTGTTTTGTTGGTGTTGCTGAACGAGTTCGTTGTATTTACTCTGTATGATCATTCACCTAATCAATCATCCACCGTTGGTTTGCGTTTCCGGTGTGCCTATAAATGTCGCTCAGCTAACCATTCTCGGGGGCGTTCCCTCCCTCGGCCTCTCGTCTCTCTCAACACCGAACCCCATGGCCGACGAGAACCCGCCTCCGCCTCCGCCTCCGATTCCAGCCACCGCGATATTCTCCTCGAGGAGATCCGATTCCCGAAGGAAGAGCGGTCCTCCCTGCAACACGACCTCTTCGACGCCCGCGAGAAGCTCGCCGCCGTCGAGTCGGAGCACGTGGCCAAGATCAAGGATCTGAACTCCTCCGCCAAGCATCCCGAGGAGGCGGTCACCGCCCTGGAGAAGAAGGCGAAGGATGCGGCGGAGGAGCACAAGAGGAGCGTGGAGGAGCAGTTCTCTGCCGTGGGGACTGCAATAGCGCGGTTCGTCCAGCTGACCATCGAATTGAAGTCCGACGCCGACAGATCGGCGCGCTTCCCCACCCTGGGAACGATCGGATTCGCGGGCGTGGCGGCGGCGATGACGCTCCTCCGCAATCTCGTCAGGCGGCGGTAAATCTTGAGCGAGGGCGTTCACGAATTAGCTTTGGGTCTCGTGAATGATATTCTTGATCCTCCAAGTTCTCGAGTTCTCTGGAAGCTTCTTGTGAAGCTTGATTCCAAGCAAGGTTCTACAGTCGCTTTCGATGGTGGGTGCATCATATCCCAACAGATGGAATCTTCATTCGCAAACATTATACTGAATGCTTTGATGGTTCCTGTGGTATCTTGAGAATCTTTGTTTGCATCATCACCGAACAATGTAGTTCAATTATATATTAATCCATATATATTAATGCTTAAAAATTGCAGCGTATGGTTATTCGATTTTTTTTTTCATCTTGATTTATTGGTCGGTGAGGTTATACGAAATTATTTTGTATCATTTTATTCCCTATATAGAGTTTTTAATTTCTATTTCAGATATAATAATCTAAAAAGAAATAATGAAGGAAAAAAAAATATAAATGAGAGAAAGGCGTGTCTGGCTTCTCATTGGCGGAAGCATGTTGGCCCTTGCGGGGCCCGTGATGTGATCACTCACCTGATGGATCGATCATGCACCGTTAGTTAGCTCTCCAGGAAAGCCCGTATATGGCCGGCATCTCTGCTGATTCGACATCTCTCTGCTTCCCGCTCGACGATGTCTCCCATGGCCGACGAAACCCCTGCCTTCTCGACGACCTCCGCAGCCCTTGGCGAGGAAATGCCCATCGCCGATTTCAGCGACAGCGACAGCGACACCTTCTTCGATTCCAGCGACCGCGAGTCCACGAGGAGCTCCTCAAGAGGCTCACATCCATCCGTCAAGGTCGTCTCCGAAAAGGCCGCCCGCCTCGAGAACGAGCTCCGTCTTGTCCAGGACGACATCTCCAACGCCAAAATCGCCACCGTGGAGTGCCAAGAGGCTGTTCTCCGCCTTGAGGTCTCCATTAAGGACCTCGAAGCCTGGTCCAAAGTCGCGATCGAGGATCTTGATGCCAAGATCCGGGTTCTTGGAAAGAAGGTGAAGGATGCGGAGGAGCACGCGGCCGCAGTGGTGAAGGAACTGGAGTCGGTCGTGCGTTCCTATGGCCGGAGCACAGCGGCGGCGATCGGGTTCGCGGCCTCGGTGACGGCAGGAATTGTCATACTTCACCTCACAAAGCAGTGGTAAGCCCTGAGTTTCTTGGTGGCAGCTTTCTGCGCTCTGCTTGGAGTTTCTTGGCGTTCTCTATCTTCCAGCTCTTCAAACGCGATCGTTTCAGTAGCATCGCACGGCTCAATTCTCATTTCGCTTACTTCATAGACGGACTTGATGGGTACATGGAGTGGGACTTCTTTTACCGGTGGTGGAGTTCTTGATGATGTTTCTTGGGTTGTCTGGCTGATCCTGTGGCCCGATCAAAGCTGTTCTTGCCTGAACATTAACCTTTTGCTCTCTAAAATCAATAACGCCTTCTTGCTTACGATGTCGTGATGCGTTCAGGTATCAAGAAGTTGCCATCCTGATGCAAACATCCTTCCTGATTCTTCTAATTGTTCCTTCTTTTTGACTCCTCCTTGAGAGAGAAATTAAACGAACAAAAATATCATGTCATATTAATCGGAGACAATCCTATTATATGACCTTAAATTTAAATATGATATAGCATTTTTATTTTTTTCTATTTATTGGAGTGTGAGCGTTACTTGAAATCGTTTGCCTCTTTTATTTCCTCCATCGGGTTTTTAATTTCCATTTGAAAAGACAAAAGAGAAAAAAAAATCCCGCGTTTTTGGCTCTCTTAACCGTCCCATCTTGTCGTTGGTGCGGTTGGTGTCCGCGGCTGCGGGGCCCACGATTTTTTCCAATCATAAACGAACGGGTAAACGAAATATATGTTGTTTACCCACCCGCTTACCTAAAGTCTGGTGTGCGTATAAGTAGTTCTCACCTTCCCGTTACTCGGGCATTTCCCTCCCTCGTCCTCTCAGCTGCCTCTCAACACCGACTCCGATGGCCAAAGACCCCACGGATCCCACCGCCGGTGCCGGCGGCCACAATCTCCTCGAGGAGATCCGAGTGCTGAGGAAAGAGCGGTCAGATCTCCAGCGCAAGCTCTCCATCGCTCACTTGAGGGTCGCCGCCGTCGAAGCAGAGCTCGGGGTCATGATCAACGATCTTGGGGTCATGATCAACGATCTTGGGGCCTCGCTCATTGAATTTGAGAAGGATGTGGACGTTCTCGATACGTACGCGAAGAATTTGGACGAGGACCGCGCAAGGGAGCTGGCCGCGAGGAAGGCGGAGCAGGAGGCAGCCGTGAACGACGAATTGAGGTCCACGGTCGAGCATGAGATGCATCTGCGGAAAGACATGGCGATGAGATTCGCTAAACTGGCGGTGGTGGTAATCCTCGTTCGCTTCGCGAATTTGATGAACAGCTAAAACGAGGGTTCACAAACTATCCGATGCCTGTGTGATGAGAAATTTGGAGCTCTGGTTTGTGCTTCTTGATTCTCCTTAAAGATAAGCTTGGTTTAGATGCATATTCATTAGAAGCTTTCCTCTGATCGATCCAGTTCGGTACATGGATTGCGATTTAAGGTGGTTTTACTGGATGAGTAGTTCTTCCTGTTGGTGTTTCTTGTATTGTTTCTTCTTCTTGAAAGCGAGCAAGCAGCTCGATTATTGTGTCAACTGAAGCATTTCTTGCCCCATTTTGTAGCTACCATTTCCAGTATAACAATCTTTTACTGATGATGGGTTCCTTGTTGCATGAGTTGATATCGGTGGCATCTCTATATTTAAGACAAACTGGTTGAAGCGGTGGTGAATCCTATGCTAATAATTTCGATTTGTATGTTGTATCTTCTCCATGATATCTCGATCTCATGATCTCATGATCTCATGATATCTTCTCCACAAGTTGTTGAAAGCATCCTCGCTTGTAATCGAGGGAGAGTTATTGACTTACCCGGGGCCCACAATTTCTCTAATCGAAGGTAACATAAACGGGTACACAAGAAATAGTACCTTTGTATGATCATTCACTTCAAGCATTTCCGCTCTTTTGGGCGTTCCTTTGCTCTTTCCTCCCCGGGCGCCGACTCGAATGGCGACGAAACCCTCGCCTGCCCTTGGCTTGCGCCGCTTCGGGCGAGGAAGAGATGGTTAATACGGAGCCTACCGCCACCGGAGAGAAAGAGCCGACCGATGAGGAGCCTGTCGCCGATTCCCTTGACCGCGGGCTCCTCTCCGAGGACGTCCAACGATCTTGAGGCCGCGACCAAGAATCTTAAGAGGCGGAGAAAGTGTCCGAGAAAGGAGCAAAGGATGCTGAGGAAGAGCACGCGAGGAGGTCGGCCGCAAAGGAGGCAGAGTTATAGGCTGGATGTCATGGTGGGATATATATATAGAAGAAATGATGCCCAAGGTCCAGGAGGAGATTTATCTCGAGATAGATGATGAGGGAGATGCCGAGGCAACTTCCCACAATCTGGGAGCACCACCGGCGATCGGATTAGCATCCAAGGCGGTGACGGCAGTAGTATTACTTCATCTCACGTTGCAGAGGTAAATCTGGATCGAGGGGTCACGAACTCCCTGACTTTGTTTCTCAGCTCTCTATGTTCTTCTAGGTGTGTACACTTATTACAGCTGCTTGGTTGGGCTAAACACTCTCCTGAAGCGTCCTTCCAAGCCATTCTTCTACATTAGTTTCTACCTTTTAGTAGATGCCTTGATAAGTGGACTAGATAGGTACATGAAGTGGGATTTAGCAGTAGTTTCACTGGTGAAATAGATCTTGCTGGTGTTTCTAATGCATCAATGGTTCTTTGATACAGGAATGGATTAGTTCGTCTGTCTTGGCAGTGGATGCTGCTTCTGTGCCTTCGACATAGGATTCCAATTCCATGGGAACTTGGTTCTTGAATGGTTCTTCAAGGTACGTTTCTTCTTTGCGGCACACATTCGTTCTCTGTCATCCGCCAGGCCTTCCTCCCTACTCCTTATCTAACCTCCATCTACACATTGACAGTAAATAACAAAATCGGTGATTCCAGAGACATGACTGTCCCGAGTACCTCATTGGTGACATTGACTGCAACGGCTCCGTGACATGGGTAACCTGCCCTCCTATAGTCTATTCCTTCAACCTCGCATTGATCTAGTCCTGTACCGTGGTCTAATTTCTTTAGGTATATTAGTTATGTGATTTGTTAACTGGGTGGCGCTTATATCATGAAGTCTTCGTAGTCTTGGCTAGTTGGCCAATGAATTTGGAACAATTGAGTTTTGAGCAAGCTCATACATGATGCGGACTCATAATGATGACACCTAATGGCTTGATGTTGCTTTAAAGTAATGTGGACATGGAGTGACCGGACCAATTAGGATAAGAGGACTGCATTTGGGATATGGGATGTGTAGTCTGGATCTACAATATCAAAACACCTCAGCTGTTTGGCATTTTCTGTGGTTTTTACTGTGAAAGGTTCATGTGTTATAAAAATCCAGGCTTAAGGAATTAATTAGCACTCTTTTCATTTGCAGAACATTTTACTTTGTGATTCTTTTTGTAAACTTATTGTAGCAATACAGAAGAGTTCAAAGGAGCGAAGAGAAGGGATTCTTGAGAAATGTTAGCATTTGATTTATCTTCTTTTGTATATATAAGATCAGTGTCTTGCTGACTGTTTTCTATAATAATTATGTCATTTTAATACTGATCTTTGGTGACTTCTTTTTATGCTCAAATTCTATATTTATTGAAAATTTATTTTTCTTTATAATCTTTGGTTGTGTAATGATGCATTCTTTCATCTGCAACAGATGTTCCTTATAGTTTGATTCATTTATATGATAAATAGCTAAACCTAAAGCCAGTTATTATCTTCCTTCTGCCACACATTTATAATCACATTTCTTGTGTTCTGAGACTTGTACTCTTCTTTTTAACTTTATTATTTATTTCAAATGCACTTGTAATTTCTAACTAGATTTTTTATCTACTATATGTCATCTTAAGATTTCTCGTTACTGTTATCTTCAGTTTTGTCGAATTTTTATAAGAAATCAGCACTTCACTGGAAAATTCATTTCAAGAATGTAGAAACAGAAAATGGTGTTTCCCATTTGGAGCTAGTCCCCTTTGCACATGATGGATGATCTCAAAACATGGAGATTGGTATAGTTATTTTGTCTCCATCAATCCTATAATCTATGCTGCATTGCTTGATATTAGTATGACCTTTTAAGAATACACTAATAAGAATGCTGGGAACAGAAACAGTATCAAGAATACTTGTAGGTTGAGAGATGAATTTTCTTCTCCCTTCCTCTCTATTCATTTTCCTTTTGCTTTGCCTCAATCTGCTAAGAGGGAAGACCCGAAAATTAGAAACCAAGCAACAAGTGATGCCCAGATTATCCTTTCTTTGCCTGACACTAAAATAAAAATGGAAGAACATGTAAGGAGAAGTATGGTATCAGTTTATGACAATGGAACTACGGATGACCATGCAAAGAGGATTGTAGTTACAACACAGCCCCCTTGGACAAAATTTTACAACCAGTTGTCAATTCTGACCCTCAGTGCTTTAAAGTGGTATTATTTTATAAGACTTTAGTTGAGAACATTAATAGCTAAGTTACATATGGAATTATCGATCCTAATGGTTGTAATTTAAGCTAATACAACTAAGCATAGGTGAGAGTCGGTGGCGAGGGACTTTCAAGCTTTGGCATGGAGCTCGATGATCCCAGAGGGAATTATTAACATGTCAAGCCAGAAAAATATGACCAACCTTTCTTCATGATCTACTTCAAGTTGCATATTGATCATTACTAGCACAATTTGCATCTCTGACCATAGGTCGCATCTGGCACTTTCTTTGGCATGATGAACATTCCAATTTGACCAGCATTCAGTAATAGATTCTGACAGAAGACATGAAAAATGCATACTATGTTTCTGCCTCCTCTTTCTCCTAACCTAACCTGCTAATTACACTGTGCATTTTGACTAGCCAGTGGTTCTGCTGAATGGTCAGTGGATGTTTCTAGCACCTTGGAATATCAGCTTAATTTGGATTATAGATAGTGGCTTTGTTGTGTCGTCTTGTTAGCTCTACTAATGTTGGCTGGCTTGGATCATGAGATTGATCTATTATTTCTTTACTTTCTGCAATAAATCTGAATTTACTGCATGGTGAAGGTCTTGGAGAAGAAACATCATGCTGATCCGCAATCGATTTGATAAACCAGCCGATGAGAATTTTGGGAAAGATCACACTGTCAGATGTTGTTGAGAGTCATGATTGACACATATTCAGGGAAGAATGGTTGAGCACTATCTATATGCATTCTCAGTCGCAAAGAAAGCAATTTCTGAAAAGGATTTCAGTGATGCAAGTTGATTTAGCTTCAAGTGGAAGTGAAGTATTCTTAAGAATAAGATCTAGTAAGAATCATCCTTATAGTTTGATCTATTATTTCTTCAGTAATCGAGCTGGAAGATTCAAACCTTCATTTGGGAGGTAAATAAATGCTTAAACTGGAGTGAGTGTTCCTGCATATGACACATTTCTTTTTGGTCTGGAGAGGATCTGTACATGGAACTGGGGACCTTTCAACAGTCATTGCTCACATCTTGCTGCTATTTGTGTTTCTCGTACTCTCTAAGAAATCACATACAAGAAGATCCCTCTTTAATTTATGATCGGTGACCATCTGTGTGATCAGCATAATTTACAACCATTTGGAAGTGTCAGTATAAACTATACCACTAAAATATTGATGCGCCTGCAAACATGTGTTGATTCTAAAATTTCAGGGCCCTCTGAGATGTAGGCAATTCTATTGAACTAATGAAGCAAAGATCTCGCAAGGATTTGATGTTGAGATTCTCAGACACCAACCAGTTAATTCTTGCTTGGATCTACCAGGTTCAGATAGAAAGCGAGAAGCCTACATGGTAGTTAGTCGTTGATCATTAGAATTAAGCCATAAGGAACATTTCCAATCACTTGCAATAGGTTTATTGCAAGGGGAAAAAGGGAATTCACATGGCTATATAATTCTGCTTGACAACATGTGCTTCATTCCACCATAGAAAACTATGGAAAGTTGCATCAAATATCTCTATATTTGTATACATTTAAATTTGGTACAACCTTACAATCTTTTGCTGTCAGTGAACAAAAGGAGGAACACATATTTACCCCACCACCAATTAGACGTACACACTCCATTCTATCTTCATGCTGTTGGATCGAAGATGGCAAAGCGAGCTGAACTGTGGATTCTAACAGCACATCAGCTCTTGCAGGTCCGCGTCCATGTCTGCTTACCTTCTCCTCCAGCGTCGGCATGGAATCAAGCTTGGTTTCCTGGGCGTCATCGTGTCTTCCCTCCTCTGTCACAGAATTGACATCACGATCCCTCACATCGATCCAACCATCGGATGAAGAACAAGAACTCCAATCGGGCAGCTGCGTGTTTGCGAGATCCCGGACTCGACCAGCAGCAGCAGGAAGAACACGAGAAGCTGGACCTTCTGCTGCTACCGATTCCATCAGGCCCCAGTCCGTAGAACAGGATGGGGGGGATCTGGAAGACGAGGACCATTGAGATAACCCAAAGACACTCCGAGGCGAGGCGTCTGCCACACTGCAATGTTTGCCGTCCACGGCGGCGGCTTCCGCAGAGTCATCGACGAGATCATCATTTGGGGCCACGAATGGATGCTGCAGCAGCATCTCCGCGGTCCACCGCTCCGCCGGGTCCTTGACGAAGCAGCGGCGCAGGAAATCCTTCCCCTCCTCCGACAGCTCGCTCGGGATCTCCGGCAGTTGATCGCCGAACCCGATCCTGTAGAGCAATTCCCACGCGTCTCCGCCACCTGGACGCCCCCACGCCGGCCTACCGGACACCATCTCCGCCACCGCGCATCCCACCGACCAGATGTCCGCCGGGGCCCCGCACTCGCCCCGCGCCGCCGATTCGGGCGACATATACAGAGGCGTGCCTCGGATTCCGCCGCCGGCGCCGGCGCCGCCGTGAATCTTGTCTCCGATCCTCTGTGCGAGGCCGAAATCCGCGATTTTGACGTCTCCACCGCGGCGGTCAACCAGTATGTTCTGCAGTTTGACGTCGCAGTGCGCGTAACCGCGGGAGTGCACGCAGTGCAGTCCCCGGAGGATCGAGCGCGCGTATCGCCGCACGGACGACTCCCGGAGCGAGCCGCCGGAGCGGCGGAGCAGGTCGTGAAGGGTGCCCCCGGCGACGAACTCCAAGAACAGGTTGTAGGTCGGCGTCCCGGTGGCGGCGTCCGGGGCGACCTCTTCGCCGAAGCAGCGGACGACGTGCGGGCAGTCTTGGAGGTCCGACAGGACGGCCTTCTCTTCCCGGAGGAAGGCAGCGCGCGGGAGGGGCGCGGACTTCACGGCCATCAGCGATGGAAGTTGCCGATGTTCGTCCTCGCGTCGGACGAAGGCCAGGCTGACAGTGCCGAAGCTGCCGCGGCCGACCACGGCTCCTCTGGTCCACTCCATGCTCTCTCTCTCTCTCTGTCTCCTCTTCCTCTTCCTCTTCTCGATGGCTTTGGGCCGCAGCAATGAGCAGTAACAGAAGGAGGGGTTTCAATTCGTGTAGCTTCTCTCTCCTCACCTGCTCGGCTGGTGTTTCATGGAAGGGCGAAGGAGAGGCTTGTGGTGGGTAGGATCGTAACAGCAAGGAGATATATACCGCGCATTGAGCACGTTTGCATCGAGGAGCAACCGCTACTGCTGCGGCTGGAGAGCTCTGCAGTCGATGGGCTCTAACGCGTGACAGATCTTTTTGCCTGCTTCCGATGGTTGGCCTCGCGGTCCTCCTGCAACGTGCGGAATTCTTCTCGGAGAAGGTCACCCAAATTGGTGTCGTTCCAAATCCGATCGACGAATCGAATCCACCTTTAGATATATTAAATTATTTGAATTCATCTCTAATATCATACTTTTAATTAATTACATGCATATGAAAACAAATCATAAATAAATCTAATTATAATTATTTGTCCTTTTATTGGATTCCACATAGAATTCCTCTATCTTAAAAACACATTTTTCTCTCATGGAAAATAAAAAAGGAATAGATTCATGAATGTGTTGGGCTGTGATTGAGAGCAAAAGGAAAACGTACTTGTCACGAATGATTGTCCTTTATAATGTGTGGCTAATGCATTGCATGCAAGAAAGAGACGTACAAGCAAGCGTTTATGGGTTGCGAATTATGTTGTGCCCAACACTTGGTGTTTTAACTTATTATTGAGGCATCACATCATATTCCTACAAGTCTTTGTGTGGCACATTTTCTAATTGAGTTTTCAATGTCAAAATCAGTATTATTATTTTTTTTTAGACTGACTTTATTGTTATTATTGTAGGAATAATGTTGTGGAAACCAATAATTTCATGTACAATCAAATTATTTATATTTCAGAAACCAATTATGAGCAGTGATATCATTGAAAATTAGTTCGATTAAACCTCATTCATGTGTCGAGAGGAATGAATCTAACGAAACATGTCATCTTCCTTTAGAATTCAGATATTTGACAACTCTAATGTTCATAGTCAGATTGCTACCCAATTAGCTATCCACCCATCCATCTCAAACCTAACTAACTCGAATAATTAATTAATTTCCTACTTATACTCACCATTTAATAATCCCAAGGAGTTCAACCTACTTTGGAGGCAGTATAGAATGTCAAGACCACGTTATGAAACTGCTATCTATCAAATCGAGCATTCAATATGAAACTTAACATCACAGAAATGAATCAGTTCATGGAGAGAGCACAAGAAATAAGATTGAAACTGGAGTGCATCATTATGAAGCTTTCAGTTTGAGTATCATCTAACTGGTGCGCCAAATCAATCAATATTAATCAGTTAGATTGCAAAAAGTATTCAAAACTGATCACAATTGATGTGATTCGTGAAACATATACTGTAGCATTAAATCTGAATGTAAGTGTGCTGTCTTTATTTGAGGTGTAAGTTCACGTATAGTAAGGATTAGAAGAGTCAAATATTATTGTTTATATAGGGATAGAGGAAACATTCATCCAATCTTGACTCGACACATGATAGCACGATTAACACGAAGAGGACAGCCATATAGACATCAGTCCTAATGAACTCATCATAACAATCTACTATTATGTCACACAGTTATTGTTTACTTTGAGTCCCTATTTTTATGTTATGGAACATTATAACATCAAATGAATTATATTAAGAATCCTATATTTAATCGAGCTCTCAATCCTATATTTCTTATACATATCAACTCAAATCAAATCGGACTAATTCAAATAATAATATCGACTTCCACCACACTGGATAGCATTATAATAAATAGGATTCTAATTTATTTTTTGGTTAGTGATGACTCAATTAAATGATTTATGTTAGTATTTATGAGTTTGAAGTATCTTTTCCTTTCACGACGTTCAAGTCAATTCTATTTTTAATATAAATATATATAATAATTATTATTATTTATTAAATTTACCATCACCAACGTATATATATATATTTTTTAAGAAAGAGATTCTATTTGACGGTGTCGCATCACTTCGAGTGACAGTAACGCAAAAAAAGATCTTGGGACAATGCAGGCACGTTTTGCACGTGCCCCCATAAGATCCTCCACGTGCGGAAAAACAAGGACCACGTGTTCGTTTGACCATGGAACACGTTTCCGTGCCATGTATTCGAGAAACCCATTTGAGAAAGAAGTAAAAATAAAATAAAATAAAAAATAAATTTGCGAGAAGAGATCGGACGATCCAAACCGTCCATGTCATATCGATGCCGTGAAATGTCATCTTCGTGATGGTTGCCGTATGGTAGCACGAGAATATCATTGAGATTTTTTTATTATAAATTATTATGATTAAAAATAATTGTTTTTAGGTTTGAAGTGTTAGGTATTTGATAGAATCGAATGCATTACCGGTATTATTGGAGCTAAGTGGTGTAATAAAAAAGATGGGAAAGCTTGTGTTCAATGTGGAAAACTAAGTTTTGGCACAGCAAAGTGGAAGATTTTTTTTTAATATAAAATAGTTAAATAGACAATAATATTATGTTGAAAACAGTTCTCGTTATAGGAATAGTAAATATATTTTAGATATTTATTTAAAAGTGTTACTAATGGCAATAGGGAATGATGATGTGATATCCTGTTGGGTGTCAAATTCTTATTGGGTGGGATATCCAGTTTGTTGCCCACCTGATCCCAACGTGGGGTATTTTTATCGCATGAGAGCAACGACCGAATGAGTATAAAGACGAGTCGTGTTTATGTGAGTCGACCAAATGAGTTAGGATTCATCGAATAGTTTCCCAACCAAGCGGAAAGCGACAGGTGAACTTTGCGTATGAGAGTCGCGACGAACGAGTTAGAATTCGTGGAATCGTTTCTCCCGGCCAAGCCAAGCCAAGCCAAACTCCCGGAGATTAACGGTGACGCTTGCGATCGCAGTCTCGACGAGGAGAAGAGGCGATGGCACCACCGTCGGTGTCGGTCTCCGTGGACTCCCATCGATGTTGATGGGTGTAAGGAACAAGACAACGAGCGAAGATTGTATCAACATTTATGCTATTTTCTCGATTCAAATCCATCGATATAATTGGAATTCAACCCAAGTCACAAACTTCAAAGATACTGCTGTGAAATCCAAGTATCAGATTGATATTTTTTTTTTCCCATCATTCGGTATATTTTTAAAAGGTGTTAACTAACTTAACTGATAAAAAAATTGATGATTTATTATAAAATCATGAATTTGAATCTGAAAAAAAAGCGAAATAGAGTTAATCAATGTTGTATCTATTCAAAATAAAGAATCAATGAAATTGTATTCATATAAAAAGGAAAAAAGACCGATTAATTCATTACATGAATGAAAATTTTTATACAGTGGATTTATCGACGAGTCAAAAAGAAAAATTTAAAAAACACTACAGATATGATCTTTTATCACATGAATATATAAATTATTATTTTCATCATTTATCCTTTGTAAAATATTTATTAAGATTTCTCTTATATTTAGGTTCGATTAGGTTCGTAAAAGAATCAGATTTGAATTTAGAGAATTTTGGGTTTGATCAATCATATTCAAAGTCGAGAAATGGATCGAATGAAAGCAGGTCACCCAACCCAACTCCTTTTGATGGCATTTCTTCGTAAATCCAAATCTAATCATTCCGCTGATGACATGATCAAAAATTGAAGTATAATATTCTTGAGTTGCTAATCCAAGGGAATGATAGATAATGTTAACATCTTCGACTTGATCGTTACTTGGATTCATTCTCGAAATGCCAATCCAAGATCATCGCAGGTGAATAATTACCAACATCGTTGGGCCATGACCCAAGTGAATCCATGGGCTGGCCCATTACAGCCCACCATAGGGCCCAAGGATTAGTTAGATCAAGTATTGCAGGAACCCATTACAATGGACTCATCATCATCATTGTTGTTGTTATTATTATTATTATTATTATTATTATTATTATTATTATTATTATTATTATTATTATAAATCATCCAAGTCTTTACCAGTTAAGTTGACTAATACCAACTAATAACTTTTGGTTTAGGTAATGGAGAGGCACTCATTTGAATGGACGAGCATCTTACCTTGCATTATCAATCTCTCTCTCTTCTCCGTTATTATTGCTTTTTGTAAATATAAAAACCAAATGTATGTATATTTTTATGTGAAATTTTAATGTCAAAATTTGAAATCAATTAACAATGGATCAAATTTACGATACATACTTTTTGATATCATTTAGAAAGCTTTTATCTGATCTATTAACTCAACATAATAGGATCTAAAAATTATAACAATACTAATCCGTAAAAAAAAATAGATTCATCTTCTCCTCTTTTTTTATATTTCACATGATCATTACCAACGATAAATTAGATAAAAGAAGATCTATAATCTCTCATTGATTAGTTCACATGACTAAAGATAAGGTTTAATCGCATACAAGTTTAGCCGACAGCACTTGAATTCAAACATTTCAACCACAATGCAATGCGTATGGATGGCTGGAATTTCTGCTCATTTGTTACATTTGCAAAATACTAATTTACATGGCATGCAATCCATCACAGGATTGCACAGTACTATGGTGTGCTATCACTGTTCTTGGACAACATCAGGTAGGGACGGTGGTCATGAGCAGCCGAACTTGCTGGAGATTGGTGTCCCCTTGCATGACTGGTGCTTGGTGGGCACCAGATAGTCTCAAGTTCTGCTTCATCACCTGCAACCTTGTCGTCATCCTCCCTCTTTTTGAAGGCTGGGTGTGCATATGCATCCCGTAAGTATGCTTTCAAGTCTAGGTTAGGCTCCCTTTCGCGTTCTAATGCATCTTTCATTGTTGCTTCCTGATAAAAAGGAAATTGAATCCAGAAAAATAAGATTTCCTCATTGATAATCTTAGACAGAAATAATATCATAGTATAAAAACTTCTATAGCACAATGCAGAACCTTTATAGACTCAAGAACATCTATAAAGATTAAGCAGAGGACATCTTGTACGTCCAGATAACATGCTGACCAACAAGAAGAGGTCACTTTGCATTAAATTGGGAAGTATGAAGCTATTTCTCAATTTTATCAATAGACTAGCTGTTTCTACTATAATCATAACTACGAATCTTGATATCCGAAATCTAATAATTGCATTTATTATAAAAAAATTAAAATACAGCAAGAAGAATAAAAATAACATTGTTTCAACTTTCAACTACTACAAGTAAATGAAGATTTGCAATAAAGAATTACCTGAAGTGGATATTTAACAAAAGCAGGTTCATAGCGATTCTTGCAGAACCTATGAAACCAAATGGTCAACACCAGAAGGGGGATAAGCAAAGGTGTTGACTTAGCAGCATGCTGTGTACTTAAAAGTCCAAGTAGAAGCAGCTGGGATATGACCAAAGCAGTGATAATGTGGCCATGGACATCTGGCCAAAATGCTGCAGCAGTCTCATATTTTTGGTCGTACACATTTATAATCTAATCAAGACAAGAGTGTACATATCAGAAAACAGATACTGGATTATTGATTGACTATTGCATATGACAACTACCGGATTGCATGCATAAGCAAGTAAGCTATACTGTGAGTAAAAATTAGAAATGGACTCCAGAGACATTCCAGTTCATGTTCTAAACTAGTGTTTTGCATAGCCATTATTTTTTTTTGTTAAAGCAGAGGTCATAGGCATTAGAAGCTTTGTCATTGCCTTATTATCCAGATTGTGTCTAAAACACATCAACTCCAAAGTCTTAACCTGGTTCAATCTATTTTTCTGTTCTTTTTTCACCAACCTGGTTCAGTCTAATATGGATTACATATTTCACAAGGAAAATTTCATGTTCTGTTCTCAAGATGAAAATTGGTTTCATTTTCATCTTGAAAGGAATCATTGCAACCGAAACATCCATTACATGTGTTTTTCAGAAAACAAAAATTTGAATTTCTTTTATGAAATCATCATCATGAATTACAATTTTCTGGTGGTTTAGCTGTCAGATAATTTTACCTTGAAAATTTCTGCACATGTTTTTTTTTTTCGGTGAGTAATTCATGTGCCGGTTGTTAATTTAGTAGCTGAAGCAAACTTTGATATTTGCATCTTTTGCAACTATTTAATTTCCTTAACTAAATGAGTTAAAATTTGTATAGGCTTCAGCTTATTCTTTGTTGCAAGAAAAAAACTCTATGGGTACGACGCTGCTCAAAGTTCAAAATCTTTCTCAAGTTTATGGTTCACAGAATCAGTTACCATAGTTTACATTGGAATTTGTAGAAAATAAACTTTTTTTCTAAGAAAATGACCATCATAACAAGACTTAAGTCAATCGTGAACTACAACATAGTAATGAGACATGCATATAACATAAATCAACAAAAAAAGTTTCATTTATAGTCAATGCAAAATTGCAATTATAAATGCATGTATTATTAACAATTTTGGAGTTGCTCACCTGATGGCGAAAAACAACATATGCCAGAGCGAAAAATACCAGAATGAAAGGAAGTAAGAAGGGTGTGACTGCAGCATATACAAGACCAAGTAAGAAATACAGCTGTATTTGAGGTTCAGATGTGGCAAAATTAATGCTTTCAGGATCCATGGCCTTTTCCCTGTCCTTTTCCGTCTTTACCAAGAAAAGATTTTTGAAGTAGAAGAAAATAAGAGGCTTCAATCTCAAAATCTCCCCAGCAATTCCAGCCCAACCATCAACCATGATATAAGTAATGAAGAAAGTTGCTTTCATTGGAATGGATACTCCAATTGTTTTCGGAATTCTGTATAATAGAGTTAATTTCAATGCATTGAAAATACAAAGAATTAAAATGTCCCAAAATGAAGAACATTACAAGCCAGACCTGATTTGAAGTTATGACAGCATGAAAAGATTTTAGAGTTGACTTTTTCATTAACCAAGTTAGTCTCAGGCACCTCAACTGTATGAGATCTAACAGTATGATTCATAGTAAAGGGTCTCAGAAATCAAGCCAAAAACCACAGCATAACATATAATATAATTACTAATTGACTGGCCATTCTCAAAGATAAAGAAGGTGAATATGAAATATAATTTCTGCATAAATACTGAACAGTAACAAGCTATAAAAAGCCGAATATGCTGCTATAAGTATTCAAAAGGTTCCTACACAAGTCCTATGCTATTATAAGTACTCCAAAAGATTCCTACAGAATGGCACTTCCTCTAACAGCTTTTGGATATCTAATAAGCCTTTGGATAGACACCACAAAAGAGTTCCAAAGCAGTGACACTACATGTAACAGAGTGGCACTTCCTCTAATAGCTTTATTCATGACAATGGGAAGAATGGCAATATAACTGAGAAATCTATAGGTACAGCAATGTTTCAAAATGAAATACTTCCCAGCTATAGCAACTGCTACAGCTTCAGACATGTCACAACGTGAACCCATGAAATTCTTTCATTGATAAAAGACTAGCACATAAACTTTGTTCCTTGTGTTGAGGTTTTCTATTATGTTAAGCACTGGAAACCCTAGAGGCTCCATCAAAAGGTTTAATTGTACAAACTACCAAGTTTATCAGTCATATTACCTAGAAGTCCTTCAGACACATGTGAATCAGACTTTCTTTGATTCTGTATGCTACAGGAGTGGAACAACATATAGCCAGCCACAAATGTAATTCTTTCAAAAAGATTTCCTTATAACACTACTCATTGATCTCAACGCTTGTATTCAACTAACCTAACTTTTGAAAATGTTGTTTCCTAATTTCTAACATTTTGATCCATAAAGCATTACTGCATTGGCTAATCTTATAGCTGTATATAGCCTTCCAACCACATGATAGTGTTTTTTTTTTGTTATTTTATTCACCTAGAAGAAGGCTCAATCAGTGTCAGTTAGGTAATAGGATTATCATCTTATCATTCATCATCAAATTAAATGTCAAAGAACCCAAGCAAAACATAGATCAATGTCTTTAATTTAAGCAAATCTACATTTTACGATCTGCTTAATGAATATAGGATACATGTCAATAACAGATCAGTCATCCAAGTCCGTTCAATCCAATAAATGACATGTAAAACATAATTATGTTCCATTCATTGTCACATGACTTCTCCATGGAGTAGTCTGCATAAGTGCCATCCAAAATATTACATAGTTCAGCAGAATGCAAAGCAATACTAGCAAACTGCTAACAAATACTGCAATTAATGTTCAACACAAAACTGACTCAGGATTGGTTTGGAAGCTCAAGCAAGCTGACCAAGATCTAACACATCGTTAAGAACTTTAGTACCATGGACATTTCTGTCAAATTTATACAGCATGAAACTGATATTTGCATTGCAGTAAAGCTCCCAAATTGAACCTGAATGCACTTCAAAGTTCAAACCACCAGCCTGACTAACCAAGCCTGTTCATATTTGTCTTAAAAGTTTAAGCCAGACAGGATAAGGTATAAGTGAACAAATTTATTCCTGATTTGGTGTTTCTCCCTTTGGTTGGGCTCTTTTAATTCACAAATCTAATGTGTTTATGGTCTGTCCATTGGAGGATAATGACACATACATATGAGAGAGAGAGAGAGAGAGAGAGAGAGTTAAGCATATCATTGTTAATAATACAAAACTAAATTAATTGTTTATTATCTTTATGCAAAATATGTAGCAAGTTAATGTAAACAAGATCACTATAGATGGTTGATGATTCAGTCCAACATGTTGATGTAGACTTCTATGTACATTTGTGTGCCAGTCACAACACATACATCTAATATATTGCTATTGATGATCCAAAAAACCTGCATAAAGTTAAAGAAGTTTGAACTCTGCAGAGACTTTAGAGAGTTGGCTTTCAAATAAAAAGGAAGGTTGAGAACATACTCATTTGCTGACTGGTGTATAAAACTATTAAGTTGCTCGAAAGCTGTTCCAGCAATTATACTCCCCAAAAACACATTGACTAGTAAAAAGATGTAATATTTAGATGCAGATCTTCTCTGCAGGGCTGACAATGATACAAATCCTTCAAACTTCGACATAAGCATCAGTATCATAGGCAGCAATATAAGAAAGATCTTCAGAATAATTCCGGGGAGAAAACCTTGGATGAATGACTTAATGACAGGTCTGTGTAATTATACATCATTTTATTAGATGGAAAAAGAGATCCATGTAGGGATAAATACTATCACTAGAAATGTAGTAATAGATCTAATTTTGATTTCAAAGTTCTTGATTTTTTTCCTATAGCTAGCCTATCTAATGCAAAATCTAACATTTATGCAGTAGAGTCCATAAACATATTTTCATAGAAGCAACTAGGAAGCAATAAGAAAACGATCAACAAGTATTAAATGTAAAGGAGTGCAAACTAAAATACAACGAATACAGTTAAATCCTGGAAGTTCATGGTTATGGCCTAATGAATCCTATGAATTGTTGACTTTTCCTATAAGTTTCTGACATAACATTAACATCTTTTACTATAAGATTTCCTATATAAATGAACAACTCTTTTTATACTTAAAGAAGATAATTGCCATCAACTGAAATTTCTAGAATTTACTACATTTTTGAACTGCATATTTTTTATTCACAGATTATGATCAGCAACTAAGAACTAGGTTTTCTTTTATATTTCAGAGTTGGACTACTTGGTTACCACCTTTTTCTTAGAAAAAGAGGTTTCACATAGACTTGTATTTTAGATATAATGAAATTCACATTTTCTGTCAAACATTGAGATATTTGACAAACCTGTGAGTTTTTATCCCTTTTTTAAAGAAATAAACCAACAACTTCTATTTAAGGAATTAAAACGTATAAAACTTTGTTCTTTTATTACTAAAAATTTGTGGATAAAATTGCATGTGCGCCTGTACACTTAGATATTAGAAGTCTCATTTATACCTCTGTAAAGAAGCAAGTATCACATATACTACTAAGAAAACTAAAGCCACTCATATATACTTCTTAGATCTTCAAATGTGGTTATTTCATGTGTGCATACATATATATATTTGGAGGGTGAAAATGAATTATTTCTGTGTTTCAAGAGTATGAGCAATTTTGTAAGTTTGCTAAGTTGAATAATTAATTCTTGAGCTTTAGGACATTAAAAGGCAAGATTCTTTAAAATTGTTGTCATCTTCTAGTAGCTATAACAAAAATCTGGATATATGAGAAAGTTATACAATAGATGCTTGAAACGAACGAAAAATAAACAAACTCAAACAACAATAGAAACCAAACAAAAACTATTATCGAACTTCAAAGATAAACAATAAAGTATACTCACACTTCAATTAAGGGCTTTAAAAATGGAGCCACCTTCTCGATTCCTTCAATATTTGCAAGTGATTGTACGAATGTAATTGGAATCATAAAGAAAAAGGTCAGAAAGAAGAAGGCCACTGCTACAATCAACTTTCTAATTGTAATGGAGACGAATGAAATTGATAGGTTCTGCCAATATATATCACGAGGTTCTGGAGCCCACTCAGTCAACCACAATGTGGGATTTCTAGTCTGCTGTGTTTGTGCACAAACAGCAGCCCCCCATCGTGTTCGAAAGGAAACAAATGCAGCTGGCATGATATGCTTAGGGTTCGTTTTTATATTCTCCTGCTTTGTGGCTTCCTGAAATTGTATTCGACCAGAAAATAGGAAACCAAATTTAGTGTCAAACAAAAAGGATGATTTTGTTGTTTGTGTAATAGCAAACTAAAAAGCAAGGTTCTCAATTTCGATGTGCACTGCCCAATATGAGCGATCGTACCGGTCCGAGAGGATACCGGTACACACACCGCCCTCTATTGGGCGGTACTAGTACTTTGACCGGTATTGAGGCATATCGACCGGTACCGAGGTGTACTGACTGGTACTATCCTAGATTTCAATCGTTATCGAGGTATACCGATCGGTACGCCCTAGCGTGGTAAGTAAAGGTAATTTTAAGGTTTTAGGATGTACAATCGATATACGTGGTGTACCAATGGTACATACCAGTATTTACAGTACCGAGCAGAACTCGGTACACTGATACGAACCAGTACTAAAAACCTGGCTAAAAAGGTGAAGTAAAATCCAACTCCAAGTTAGATGAAACATTAGAGTTAATGAAATAAATGTATGAAACAGATCTAACGATCCACTAATGCCTCCTGTATGCATGAAATAATTCAGCATGAAAATACAGATGATGGTATATTAATTTCCCTAGTCCCTACTACTACTAGACTATGTTTAAGTTTTTGGATCAATCAGTCTATGTTTCTGCAGGTGTATCACAAGGTTACTTGCAAATGGATGAATGGGATTGCTACTTAATCTAGTCTCATCTTCCCAATCTGCTGGGATGTGACAATGAAAGATGGTTTATATAAGAAAAAGAAATAGAGGCATTAATTGGAAGGTCCTTTTCTATCAAATTTGTACATGAGATAGGCTCTATTTGTTATCTCCCATATTTTCACATCTTATAAATGTAATATCAATAAATCTTACAAATGTAATATCAATAAAGCATCAACATCTCACCTACAGTTAATTGTGGTAAGGTTTGTAGACACAATGCCAATTACTAAACACAGTTATCATGTAGCAAAGTACAAAAAACAATGAAATGATGATGATGAGTAGTAATATTCAATATATTCTACAACCATAGAATAGTGAAGAATAAATGTCTATGGCATATGGATAGACAATTTCCTGATGATTTAAATGTTGAATTTGGATAATTTTCCATTAACATATCTTAGTGTGGAAATAAATCATTTAAGGAGACAAAGATGCAAGAAATTTCAAACTTATGCATTGAGATTTTCATTAACTTAATATAAGGAAAATTTCTTGAGTGAAATAAATACATTATTAAGTTACCGAAGCTTAACCCATCAGACAGAACAACCTATATAGTATCACTTACTTCTTTAGAGAGCTTATCAATCTTTGATACATAAAAATCAATTGCATCCACCTTGTGACCATACAATCCCCAAAAACCAGTCTGTTAAAGACCAAGCACTAGTCAGTCTTAGCATAAATAAAAGAAGAATAAAATCAAACATAAATGAATAAAAAATTCAAAAGAAAATATAATGTCATTATCTGCCAAAGCACCTTTATAGTAGGTCTTTTAGACGGATTGCGATCATATTTCAGTTGATAGAAGTCACGCCAATTCTCCATATGTTCCCTCTCATTAACCAGCTTAGCAATTTTGTTTGCATTGTACACAACCTACACAGTATGCATAAAAAAGATTTTTAAGAAAATTTTGGATGCTGAAGGAGTGACACTTAAAAATATACACACAAATCAGGCAACATGACTGACAGAAAGAGGCACCAAAATTGGTCATAATATCCAACTATATGAATCATGCATGCTTATAGAGTTATACACCAAGGCTTCTGCTAACAAATGGCAGAACCATAAGTTAAAGCAAGCAAACAATGATTTCAAGCTGAAATGTATTCAATAGGTTCATGATGAAACTATCCTAGTGCGCATCCATATAACTTAAAGGAATCAGTGACAGAATAAATACCTGATGGGTTAAGTAATGATCAGGATGATTGTCAAGGAAAAAATGTTCAACAAGCTCGCTAACTGACTCATCTGGATCAGGTGGCACATTTCGAACTAGGACCTGAAAGGAGTTAAAATGAAGAATGAGTTACTTTTCAAACATGAGAAAAAGGCTACGTCAGGGATTGTTGTACCACCCAAAACCATATGGTTTTGGTGGTACGTACTAGTCTGAGTGTGAACCGATATGTGAACCATCCCGTTTTGGGCGGTCTGCATTAAAATAATAAAAAACAAACAAAAAATGGTGGGCCCCAATCCATTTGAGCATTAAAAAAAAGCATATTAGGGCTCTTTTTCTTCTTCGTCGAAACATCAATACGCACTGGGTACCATGTTTCCATACACCGATATAGAGCAGCACGTGCCGACAGGCACACCGGCTCGGACTGGTAAGTCAAACCTTGGGCTACGTCACTCACCACACTCAAATCTCATTTTAAGTTTTCTTTAGTTTCATTTGATGTTCAAAAACTATTAACAAATGATACTTTCACATGCCTGTACATGGGTCAAGTATGTACTACTACACATACATTCCTCATGTATTTACAGTGCTTTACCATGCAAAAGATGTTATCTAAAAGAACAACATAATTAGACAGTAGCACAAACCCATAAAGCACTCGTTGAAGCTAACTCTGGGCTTTCAGGCTTGAGGTACTACTGCAAAAGATCAGTCATTACCATATGAGGAATATGAAATATTATATCTAAATCTGTCCAGAATTTTTTAGTGTATCAGTGAATCCTATGTCACATAAGTCAATATTTTAGTGTCTAATGATGAGCAGTTGAATGGATGAATAAAATCTGCCATAGTTGGCAGTTATTATTCGTGAAATGTTAACAATCTTGTGGGTGCAATCTTACTAATCTGTATCAGTGTACCGACCGGTCATTGGTATGGTACATACCAATGCACTGACATATGGCACGATGGAGTATATCGATAGATCAATATGTACCGCCCATATTGATCTCCTATCGGACCGATACGTATTACCCGTATCGAGCGGTATATCACGGTATTGACTGATACGTATTTTTCTCAAGGTTCACCTTGAGAAAAATAAACTTGTACGCATTTTCAAAAAAAAAAATCAAAAAAATATTCCAAAAATTACAGTAGTTTGACAAAATTTTACTAACAAAATACATTTCTGCTTATCTGATATTGAAATAAAAATATGAACAAGATTACCAAAAAAATTGGACTAATAAATTTGATCTAACCAACTCGAGGGTAGACAAGCTAAACAATTAACCGAGACTCAGATTATTTGAACTCTCAAATCAGATTAATCAAAATTGAAGATAAGGACAGTGAAGGTATACCGTCCCATTGAAATCCAATGATAAGTGCCATAAAATCTAAAGAAAATTAGCAATCAATTTCTTGGTACACATTATGCAGTAAAATGTACTTGAAAAGTTAGATGATTGAATATAAACAACAATGTGATAAAAAGTAAATGATCTAGATCTTAGTAGTATTATAATACAACAAAGAGAAAACTCAAGTTTGCAAGCCCCCATTAACTATGTATTTTTATAATTAACTATTGCATCAGTGATGATAAATTGGTAATCATCCTATTCAGTGAATGATACAAATAAGGTTTTCCATCATTGTTTGTGCTCAGTCAAACATCGATTTGTAGCAGCAATATAAAATAGAATGAAGACAATATAAGTAAACAATGAAAATCTAGTTTAAGCACCAGAAGAGTAATTCTCATTTACGATTGAAACTATGATATCTGGAGTTAAAGTAATATATTTTTTTTATTTCGAACTTCACAAAAGATTCTCAATTGTAAATTGGGACAATTTATGCTAATAACAATTTACAAATGTCTCAGAGGAGCTTACGGTGAACTGATCAGGACGGCGTTCGACTGATGCAAGAAATTGTAACCTCATTGCCATAACAATTTTGTACTCCTTAAGCAACACATAACATGACCAAAAGGTAAAGACATATGCCATAACCAAATGGACCCAAAACCTGTAATGAAAATAAGCATACATTATACAAGTAATAAACATCATCATTCGACAGAATAAAAGTAAAAAAAGAGGGAAGAAATGTGACTGCTTTGACCAGTGAAAACAAATCAAAGAGTAATAGGTTGGAAAACAGAATAAAGGGGGTTGTATTTATGATAGAAACCGCAAAAATGAAATTACAGAATTTAATTCCAAATGTTTGATGTGAAATTTGGCAAAGCTCCCGAACCATTAAAATCTGCAAAGTGCAAACATCTGGCCAGCAAGTTTATCCATATCCTTTGTCACACAAAGTGATTAATACATACATCTTTGGGTGGTATAAATTGTCTCCGATGCCACATAAACTAGCATAAGTTTGAAGAAGTCCTATGCTTCCACCATCACCATACTATCAAAACCCACATCTAATTTAAAATAAGGTTCGTCGTACCATGACATACCGGTCCGATAGGAGATTAGTATTGATATTCTGATAGTACATACCAATTTATTGGTATACCCCACCGTACCATGTGTTGGTACGTTAGTACTGTTCGATACATACTATACCGATGGCTAATCAACACACCAATACGGATCGATAAGACGAACTATGATTTAAAAAAATAATTTTTTTTAATAATAATGCTGTGTTTTGCATGTTAATCATTCTCCAAGTTTGGGGCACTTGTTTATAAATCTGACACCATGGCTGGTTTATTGTAATTTGCCTTGACAAATGCATGCAAAAACTAAAGAAATATTCCACTACCAAACATGTTCATCAAATAATTTAGAAATCAGTAATACAGAAACTGAATTTAACTAGTAATTCGCTCACTGACAAAATTCTACTTGCTTACCTCTGTGACCCTGCAGGAACATTTGATATGGAGAGATGGTCTATGTTACTGTACTGAATGCTGTTTAAATTTTTCAGAGTGCTATTTGTCCAGTTGACAGGTACAAGAACAAAGAATGCCAGGATAGTGATGGGAATAAAAATTTTAAGCCTGTAAAAGAGGGGGAAAAAAATAGATGAGCACCACAAAGAAATGACACAAAACAACTATCAGAATATACAAAAAGTATTGAAATTTAGAAAAGCAATAAATGTGAATTGTTGATCCTTTAATATCATAGTGTTATCATAAACTGGCATCATCTTTTCATTTGGAAAAAAGAAAGAAAGCATCTGAGTAAGGATCATTTATCAATCAAGAGGAACCCATAACAAGCCAAAGAAAAACTAGGATAACATATAAGGATGGAAATGTTGCAGGTAGAAACAAGCAAACATGAACTGGACACAACTCATACAAACCCTATCCAAGATATTGCCACGTTGGACCATTGGTCATGTTATCGAAGAACAAGCGAAAGATAAAATGGAGCAATATTGCAGTCGTAAATCATTTTAAAATTCCATTACTCGGATTTCTTTGTAGGAAAGTTATTTAAGGTTGAAGACATTCCGAGGTGCCAAAGTCTAAAGTATAGCGATATAAGAGGTTTACGAGGCCTTAGAAGTAAAAGTTCATTCAAAGAGAAACAAAATAGAGTTGACATATACATCATTAATATTAAATTATTATGTGGAACCATTTTAATTTATTTTCATTTGAATAAATGTCCTAATTTATCACCCAAAAGCATCTTCAATATTTCTAATTTAGTTTCCTAAATTATTAAGAAGAAAAAGCAAATAATGGTAAAATAGATAACCCAAAATTTGATTTCAGTAAATCCTGATCAAAGATTTTAATCTCTATAGGGAAGTGTCATCACCCTACAAAGATGCAAGCCTATTAGTTAGAAAATTCATCAGGAGAAAGATTGTTCTCAAAATACAAAAACATATCTTCTTTAGAAAAAGGAAAGAGTAAATTACTTTATGCAAGCACATAATAAAGAAAAATGAAGTCTCCTTGATGGTATAGGATTTAATACACCTCAAACGAAACATGCTAAATGAAAAAGTAATTGAATCAAGTATAGAATACCCGATCAAGTATATCCTCAAGAAAACAGCTGAATCAAGTCCTGCATGCTCTATCAATTCAAGTTCAGACATTTTAAGGGCAGCTGGCATCCATTCCAGAAATCTCAAGTACGACCTCGGATTTAAATTGATGAACTTATGGATGAATGTTCCTGAGTGGGTTCTGCTGCTTCTTTCACCGTTAAGATACCACTTGGTGAAGTAAACTCTGCCGTTTATTGGCTGCAGCCTTAATAGAGCAAATGCCATGAGGAATCCTAAGGCACTTAATATGTTCATGGCTGCTGCGACTCCTATGTCAGTGAATGTAGCCATAACTACCTCCTGCAAGTTCCCTGAAGACATGTATAATTTGGATGCATCAAAGAGGATAATGCATTACGATGACAATGAACCAAACTAAAGAAAGCACACCATTCGCAGAATAAACAAGTCAAAAAGATTTTTTTAATTTAATTTGATTTCAATTTTTTTATTTTTTAACTAAAATTTAAAACCAATTGATTTAACAATTTAGAACATGTAATATCACAATGAAACACAAGATTAAATATCAAAGTTATATTGTTAACACTTAAATGCTTAACTACTTATCTATTAGAACATGAAATAAAATTCTAAATTTTTAATATCACAATCTCAAATTTTAAACCATGAACAGCTAAAAATTTCTCACACAAACAGTATAGATGAAATACTAAAATATGCATGATTAAATATAAAAATCATGAGATCCATAATTAAGTTCATATTTGATTACTTAATCATAAAACAAAAACCCTAAACGTCATAAAATCTGAATTTAAATAAGAATATTATGAAGTCTCTCAAGAACAATATAGTTCAAAAGGTAAAAAGATATGCATGAACAACAAAAATTTAAACACAAGTATCATGAATCATTAATTAAGTCTCAATAAAAGATATGAATCATTAACATAACTATAATCTTTAAAATCATGAACCAGCAACATAATGAATTAAAAATTTTGAAAATAAAGGGAATAGACAAAAGGAAAAATCGGAGAACCTACCTCTTCCGAAGATCTTCCTCTCTCACAGTCACCTTGTTGCGGCAATTAACGAACAGGGGTCTACCTATTATTAAATTAAAGAAGGGAGGGTTTCCCACTATGGAAGAAGACCAATCATGAAATTTTTCAAAATTAAATTAACTATTTGATTAATCTTAGCCCTAACTTGCCTACCTGAATTCGGAATTAGATATCTGTTAGTAATCAATTTCCTAGTTAGGCCTATCCAATAAGGAAATAATTATATTCTATTTAAGGTAAAAGTTTAATTATAATATATTAATTTTTCATAAAAATTTTAAATACTTGGAGGTTACATTCCTCTCGTATTAAAAAAATTTGATCGCCAAATTTGATTTACCTTAAGGAAATAGATGTAGGTACGACCCTCCAACGTTATCTTCCATTTCCAAAGTCTAGTCTAAATGATACATACAATGAACTTTCACTAATAAGATAACTTTATTCCTCACAACATGCTCCTTCCTTTTTAAAATTTCAATTGACTGCTCTAAAAAAAGTGGCATCATCTCTCAATCGTAGAGGTCGCAAAGGTTGGTACGAGATAATATAAGATGAATCCCTAACATATTTCAAGAGAATCGAGACATAAAATATACTAAAAATGTTTGTAGGTGCTAGGGCAAGGTCAATAGATAAGCCACATATTTGATCCTCTATAAGATTTCAAAAGAGTCTATAAATCTCGGAACAAATTTACTCCTCTTACTAAATCTTATAACTCCTCTTATCAAAGATAGTTTAAAAATGACATGAATCCTAACCTCAATTGCTAAATCTCTTCTCCATCATTTGCGTAGTCTTTTGTCGACTCTAAGTTGACAACAATCTCTCCTTTGATATGAATAGTCCTTTGTCGACTTTCTGACAACTTCTTTGAACAATCTCTGACAATATTATCATCTCTGACGGTTTGTCAATCTCCTTTGACATGCAAGTTGTCAATCTTTGACAAATTCTTTCGATAATATTATCATCTCTTCAAATTAATTGAGGTCTAAAAGGCTTCCGCTCTCTAACATCATCCTAACACACAAGTGATAAAAGATCATCGAAAGGAGCCATCTTTATATTAGAATGATAACTATTGTTGTAAGCAAATTTAATGAGAAGCCTATGCTTATCCTACTTGCCTCCAAAATCCAAGGAACAAGCTCTTAAAAATCCTCCAAGATTTGTATTGTTACTTTAGACTAGCTCTAAGATTTATATTATTCTTTCATATTAACTACCTATTTGAGGGTGAAAGAGGGTGGAAGACTACTAAATTTCAATTGAGTGCCCAAAACCCTTTGCAAGCTTCCCAGAACCGAATCTCGAATCCTTATCATAAATACTAATTGGCAGTCTATGACATATGGTGATCTCTCTTATTTAACACTACTAGTTTGTCAGTTATCTATATTTATTAGTACAAGATAACTCTTGTTTACAAGAAGTAAATGGACAGACTTAGTGAGATGGTATATTATCACACCCAGATTTCATCATCTCTTTTGTGTTTTAGGAAGTGCCAACACAAAATCTATAGCAACGTGCTCTTTCTTTCATTCAGAAATTGACATATTCAACAATTTTCTAACAGGTACTAGATGTCCAACCTTCACTTGCTACATATCATATATTTGATACGCTGGTCAAATATTTGATATTTGGTGTCTCTTCATGCCTCATTATTTGATACCTTTGTCACAAATCCCGATATATTTTGGTACCCCAAGATTAATAGTAAATTTTGATCTATAAGCATCTTCTAATAATTGCATTTTCTCTCAATAGGTTTTAGGAACACAAAGTCCTCCGTTTGTTGAAATTCTAATCTCAAGCACTGAATTATTATTTTTGACTTATTTGATTCTTTCTATAAAAAAAATTTATGGTACAAGCCAAACCTTTAGTCGTCTCACTTAATAGCTTAATTTCATATCTGCTAGATCTAAAATCATGGAAATCCTTCGAACATTTAAATAAGCTATAAGGCTCCTACTCAAAATATCAAAGACCACATCAGCCTTTCTATGGTAATTATTAACATTGAAGTCATAATCTTTTAGGAATTCCAACCATGTTCATTTAATTTTTTTTATATGAAGATATACTTAAGGCTCTTGTGATATATGGAAATTTCAAAAGTTTGTTCACGAAGAGTACTAATGCTCCAACCTTTTAATACAAAGATGGTAGTTGTTAACTCCAAATCATGTATAGTGATAGGGAGAATATTAGTGTTTCCAAGTAGAGCTCGACACAAAGCACCCCAATCAGTAGAAAAGGTTTAAAAGCTCTAACTGACTCCCCAGCTACATCAACAAAATCCGAATAAAAAATATTCCTCAAATATTTCTTTTACGCAGAATATTAAGAGAAGCACCTTCTAAAAGGTAGAGTTGATGCGACAATCAAGGTCTAAACTCTCTGCCTCTCGACTCCTTAACCTATATCATGCTAACTTGCTCGAGAACTCATTCCTGCCATCGATCTTTATGCAGGAGAGGCACCTTGAAACAACACCTCTTAGGGAGCTCAAAACATCGGGCATATCCAACACTCCGTGCACAGATCGAGTCCAAACCAAGTCGGGCTGGTCAACATTAAATCAACCACCGACATTAACCCCATCAAGTTGGATAATTTTTCTCATGGGCTTCACTTGTATTGATGCACAAGTAACTACTCTCTTATTTGCCTTAGAATACACCAAATCCAACAAATAAAGGCATCATTAGTTAATCATTTTCTCAAGTCAAATGTACCATCAAGACGACATGACCATGTCAACAGATTAATCATTTTCTCAAGTCAACTGCATTATCAAGTTGGTCACACTTCTTCAAGACAATCACATCTTCAAGTTGATAGTGCCTTCAAATTATCTTCAAACTGCTCTACATCTCCGAGACGACCACCACACTTCCAATCGCAACCCACCTAATCGCTCAACTTGGTGAAGTTGGCACCAAGCAAACCCAATTTGCTGAAGTTGGAACTATCCAACTCATTTAGACGGTGACAGCCAATGCCACGACGAGGTGCAGCTTGCCGTGGATCGGCATGTACATGACATCGGCGGTGGAGCAGCTGCAGCGGTGCTGGCCCTTGTTCCTCCAAACATCGGCTCTCTCCGCTCGGCCACAAAGATCCACGATCTGCCCCAAGTCCGTGACCACCCGACTTGACCAAGACGGTGCGGCCCTAGCCTTTGTCCAAGCAGCGACAACATCGGCGCTTTCACGACTGGCAGCGAGCCCTTTGCCCGATCGGAGCACATCAGCAGCGGCAGTCTTCCTTCTTCGTCCCAGGCGGCAACCTCGCGAAGACAGCAAGGACTGCCCGATATCGGCAGATCGGCCCCTCAATCCTCTAAGCGGCAGTGCTTTTCCACCTGCAGTATCCGCATCAACAACCGTCCGATCAGCCCTCCGCTACGCTGTCTCCGACGCCACCGTCGCTGCGGCTGCCCGCTGCCGCTACACCGCTCCTCGAGCCGTTGTCGCCGCCTAGGAACGGCCTCCGCTGCTACCCACCACGCGTTGCGCCGTTGCCCGCCATTGCAGCCGCCGTCTCTTCCTCGCTCTAGGTCCGCTGCCGATGTCGTAGCATGCCGCTACGGCCATCGCAGCCGCTGCACCGATCTTAGTTGTCGCCATCCACTGCCTTTCAACGTCACAACCACTACCAGCGCTGCGCCGCCCAGCCGTTCAATGTCGCGTCGGTGGGTTCGACCACGGCTTTGCCCGACGTCACGTCAACTTCGCGTCCGCGGTTTCCACCGTCACGTCGCATCCGAGGCTTCCTCCGTCGCGTCGGTGGGTTCAATGTCGCCGTCGTTGCGTCTCTCCGCTGCTGCATACCACTGTCGTGGCACGTCGCTGCCGCTTCTGTGGCAAGTTGCGTCACCGCACGCCGTTGCTGCACGCTGCCCTTGGCCGCTGTTGTCTGCCGTGCTTTGGTGCCCCTTGTCGCTGCTGAACGCCCCTGCACGTTGTAATGCCGTTGTTCACCACCTACGGCTGTACTGCACCACCCGTGTTCGTCACCATTGCTTCCACGCCTTGCGCTGTATCTGCCATTGGCCTACTACCGCTGCCGTCGCCGTTCCAGCAGCTTAATTCCGCTGTAACTACCGTTTCATCACCATTGTTCATTTGTAGACGCTTTCATCACCATAGGAGTTGTTGGTTTTAGGACAATCCTCGTCAAGTGGAGTAGTCAAAGGAAGCAATTACACCACAAAATTTCAACTGATCTTAACATGGATAACCCAATGTTGCAAGCTTTAGCAAGCATTCAAGAACAAAGGCATTTTGAACCGATCTTAATTTAGAAGATGCAACATTTTAATCGACACCAAGAGGATCTCCATGACACATCATCTGTTACAAGTCCACAAGTTATGATGCTAGTTTGTAGCAGAGCTATGCTGAGTGAATCACATTCCTGTCATGCACACAATATCATAATAAGAATTCCCCATCTTGCTATCAACTTATTTCCATAAAAATACTTGTATATGGAACTTTGAAGTCATTATAAGTTATTCAGCCATGAAATTAAATTTAGAACATTTCCAACATACAGAAACCAACAAAGGTCAATGCAGAGACTCTTTGCAGCCTTGTTGGCAACACATACAATACCCTCTACCAATATATCAAAAGAAAGCACATCTCTTACCAATGTACCATACAAGTTATTTCTTTGAACGTTCTGAAGACAAGCATAAAATTCAAGTCATTTACTGACATGAAACAGGAAGATGAATCTCTTTCAAACTATAAGTTATTATCTGCTCAGAAGTTTAAACTACAGTACTTCAATTCAAACAATTCAGCCACAACAGAATGCGTATGGATGTATGGAATTTCTGCTCATTTGTCACATTTGCAATACTGATTTACATGGCAATACATTACAAGGGTGTACAGTACCATGTTATGTTATAGCTGTTATTGGACAACATCAGGAAGGGAAGGCGACGATGAGCAGCCAAACTTGCTGGGAACTGATGTCCCCTTGCGAGACTGGCGCTTGGTGGGCACCAGTATGTTCTCAAATTCTTCATCACCTGGAACCTTATCTTCAGTCTCCCCATTTTTGAAGACAGGGTGTGTATATGCATTCAGCAAGTATGCTTTCATGTCTAGGTTAGGCTCCCTAACATGATCTAGTGTATCTTTCATTATTGCTTCCTGATAAAAAAAAAAAGAAATTGAAACAAAAAAAATAAGATATCCTCATTAGTAATCCTAGTTGGAAAGACCACAGTGAACTATCATCTGTATTCTATAGCACAATGCAGAATTTATATCAACTCAAGAACATCTTACTGAAGTGGAAGTGTACAACATCTATAAAGATCATGCAGAGAAGAACTGGAACCAATCAGCAACAGGTGCATAGGCAGACATTTAGTTCGGTCAAGTATGCTTCTATTTCCTCACATTTTGCTATAATGTAAGATTCCATGTATACAACAAATTCTGGACACCAAATTTAACCGGAGTATAGACTAATAGGTTGCAGTAAGGCATGAAAATGCATAAAGAGAGAAAATCATCCCAGAGGCATACTTGAACCAGATTTGGAAATTGATAAAATTTCTGGATGAGATGAGTAGGGCAAAAGTAAAAATATCTAAAAGATTCAATGTAAACTCCATGCTAAAGAAATAAATCGAAATAAGAAATCAAACTCTAACCATCCAAGGCCATGCAATTCTGCACTGTGCCAATTTAACACAGATCCTGAATGCCGGCACGTGCATCGGAGTGCATGTAGTTCAATAAGCACTGGCACATTCACCTTTCGATCCCCTAGATATGGCTAGGAATGTGAACTTGGATTTCTCAGTTCAAAAACAGCAGATCAGGGTGACAATTCATCAGCAATGCAATATACTAAGTTACTAGCCATGTACTACTTGGATGTGTCAGTAGTATAAGAGCTGCAAATCATGGGAAAGCATTTTCCATCGATTGAATTTCTTTTCTTCCATGGTTTGTTCTTTTTTTTTTTCAAGTTCCTGGTTGCTTCGTAAAACAAATATGCAAAAACACATGCATGTACTTGTCCACACGTGCCTTTTTCTAGAGATTCACTTGTATGTCCAGTTAACATGCTGACCCAAAACAAGAGGCCACTTAGCATTATATTGGAAGCTATTTCCCTAAGAGAAGTTCTATCTCAATTTTATCAATAGACTAGCTGTTTGTAACTTTGTAGTATAACTATGAGTCTATGACTATGAATCTTGATCTCAGAAATATAATAATTTGTTGCTTATACAAAGACAAAAATACCGTAAAGGGAGCTAATACATTGTTTCAACTATTACAAGAAATGAAAATTCATAATATAAAATTACCTGAAGTGGATATTTAACAAAAGCAGGTTCATAGCGATTCTTGCAAAACCTATGAAACCATATAGTCAACACTGGAAGGGGGATAAGCAAAGGTGTTGAAATAGCAGCATGCTTTGTACTTAAGAGTCCAAGTAGAAGCAGCTGAGATATGATCAAAGCAGTGATAATGCGGCGATTGACATCAGGCCAAAATGCTGCAGCACTCTCATATTCTTGGTTGTACACATTTATAATCTAATCAAAACAAGAATGCATATCAGAATACAAATACTGTAGTTCAAAGATACAATTTCTTGATTGACTAGTGCATATGATAGATACTAAATTGTATGCATCACAGCATCAGCAAGTAAACTAAACTGGAGCAAAAACTGGATATAAAATACAGAGACATTCAAGTTCATGTTCATAACCATATGATTTTGCTAAACCAGTGGAATAATGTTTGTTTCCTTAAATTATTTGTTAACCTGATTTATATGTTTTGAACTTCCTTCATTTGCTTTTCACTTTTAGAACAAATGCTGTGCTGAGGCCAACAATGCCTGTTTCAAAGTGGCTGAAATAAAGATCACAAGATATGAACTTCCTCAATAAAATAATTATGAGACAAAACTCTTGATTAACCATTCAGTAAAATTTAAGAACTTCTGTTCTATAAACATTTAGAGATTAGAGCACTTCTGATTTTTTTTTTCTAATTTTGCTGAAGTCATTGACTACTAACGACACTTGATCCAAGTGATTGAAAAAGCAACAATAGTTCAAAAATCCTCTCAATATTATGAGCAGAGAACACTTCTAATGTTCCAGTGAAGAGAAACACATCATAAATCTCAAGCTCGTCTTGTTTCTTTGAGTCTGTATTCAGTCATTTAAAACAGCAACTATTATATGGAAATTGATGGAAATAGAGGGAAAAGGCTCACAACCCTGCTCAACTATCCTCTTGATGACTTACTATCGCATATCTGGCCTTCCTTAAACCAGGGCCATTGACAAGAGAAGTTATGTGACCCTGTTTAAAAATCAAGACAAGGCATACCAGCTGGAAGACTAAGGTACTTGCTTTCTCAGGTTGATTGGTCTTCACAGTGCTCTCTTGCCTCTATTACCCACGCTACTTTTTTGCAAACCAAATTAGAAAAGAATCAGAGGTTGTAGGCATTACAAGCTTTAACACTGCCATACTATCCAAATTGTGACAAGAACTCTCCAACTCCAATGACTGAACCTGGTCCAATCTATTATGGACTACATATTTCTAAATGATAATTACATGTCCAACAACTCAAGATGAAAGTAGGTTTCGTTTCAATCTTCAAAGGAATTATTGCGACTGAAATATCCATTACTTGCATTGTTCAGAAAACAAAAAAATAATTTTTTTTAATGTAATCATCGTTAATTATTTGTAAATATCTTCTGGTTGTTTAGCTCTTGGATAATTATTTTACAATGAGAACTTTGACACGTTTTTTCTTTCAGTGAGTGATTTCATTGTAGTTTGTTAATTTAGTAGCTGGAGTGAACTTTGATATTTGCATCTTTTGTAACTATTTCATTTCCTTGATTGAATGAGTGAATTTGAATAGGGTTTAGCTTATTCTTTATTTTTAAAAAAGGTGGATACTACAGTGCTCAAAGTTTTTAAAAATCTCTGTCAAGTTTATGGTTCAAAAAATCAGTTACTGTAGTTTACAATAATTTGTAGGAATGAACTCAACCTAAGGATTTTAAAGAAAATGACTAGCATAACAAGACACAAAGTCAGTTATGATCAAGGTTCTTAATTTTGGGTACTGATAGTATAATGGTTAGGGCTTGGACCATTACCATGCCAGTTCATACCGGTGTACCAAGCGTCGATATGCTAGCATGCTGAGTTTTACATTTAGAATGATACCGCCCGGTCCACTAGCAGACCAGTACGCGGACCGCCTACTACCGGGTGGTACCATCAATTGAGGCTATTTCAACCCCATTAGCACGCGAAATCGGTCGATTTTGATCGTTGTCGCTTGCTACAAGGCAGTATTAGCCGAGGGAGAAGAAAAGGGAGAAGATGGAGATTCGACGCCACTCTGCCTCGATGATCCCGATCCGTCGCCGCCCTCCCTCGTCGGACACCGCAGATGAGATGTTGCCTCCTCATCTAAGATGACGAGGCCTCGGCATCATCAACGACTTCTTCTCATCCACGTGGGAAGAAGAAGCCTCGGTCGGCAGCATCGTCGAGGCTTCGCGGGGAGAAGAAACGAGGGAACATCACCGTTTTTCTTATTATATATATATATATATATATATATATATATATATATATATATATATATATATACACACACACACACCAAGTAGTACACCAGAGCGTACCGCTCGATATACTTATATTGTACTATACCGAGCTGAGCTTGATACTCCGATACAGTATAAAATTACGAACCTTGCCAACATGTACCAAGCAAGGTATGCAATATCGTACCACACCAGAGTTTCGACGTTCGCTCGGTACGGTACGATATTATATGCCGAACGGTATACTATTCGGTATACTGCTCGATATATGTACATATATGTACATATATATACATATATATATATATATATATATATATATATTTATATTCTTATAAAAGGCGACGTCGCGTCGCCTTAGCGATGCCGCCTTTTATAAAAATATTTATATATAAATATATATTAATATATATTTTATTCCGTCCGGTAACGGGCGGTCCGTGTACCGATCAGCTGACGGACCAGTACGTTTCCGCCCATACCGGACGGTATTATTCGAAATTGCATACCTTGGTACCAAGTTTTAAAAAATCCTGAAAAAATAAAAAAAAGAATTGTCTAGTACAAGCCTAGCATACCACCTGGTTTACCTTGATTTTTAGTAAATAGTAAATCTCATCAATGTTGTGTCATACCAAATGATATTCAAATCTTAATCATGACTACAACATAGTAATAACTAACAAGACATGCATATGACTTAAATAAACAAAAAGCCTTGCATTATAATTATTGCAAATTTGGAATTATAAATGCATGATTACCAACAATTTGCAGTTGCTCACCTGATGGCGAAAAACAACATATGCCAGACCGAAAAATACTAGTATGAAAGGAAGTAAGAAGGGCGTGACTGCAGCATAGACAAGACCGAGCAAGAAATACAGCTGTATTTGAGGTTCAGATATGGCAAACTCAATGCTTCCTGGATCCATTGCCTCATCCCTGTCCTTTTCCGTCTTCACCAAGAAAAGATTTTTTAAGTGGTAGATAATAAGAGGCTTCAATCTCAAGATCTCCCCAGCAATTCCAGCCCAACCATCAATCATGATATAAGTAATGAAGAAAGTTGCTTTCATTGGAATGGATACACCAATTGTTTTTGGAATTCTGTATAACAGAGCCAACTTCAATTTATTGAGAGTTAAAATAACTGAAATGTTCAAAAATTAAGAACATAACAAGCTAGACCTAATCTGAAGTTACGGCTGAATGAACAGATTTTAGAAATTTCTTCTCTTTTTATCAACCAAGTTAATCTCAGGCACTTTCTGCATCATGTTAAGAGTATTGTTCTCGGACACCTCAACTGCATGAGATCTAACAGTATAATTCTTAGAAAAGGACAACAGAGATCAAGCCAAAAAAAACAGCATAGCATATGATCCACTTACAATAGTTCACTAACCATTCTCAAACATAAAAAAGATGAATATGAAATACATTTTTGACATAAATACTGAACAGTAACATGAACTTCCATTAAATAGCCAAATATAACCCTATAAATACACAAAACTTAACTACATAAGTCCGAGCTGGATATTAAATCCTCCTAGGGATAGACATCATGATTTTGTTCCAGAGTAGAAAACAGAATGGTTTATCATGTAACAACAATTCCAAAACAGAAAAATGAATGGCACTTTCTCTAACAGCTTTATTAATCAACAATGGGATTAAGGATAACATAACTGGCAGTTGCTGTAGGATCAGCATGATTTACAATGAATTACATCCCAGCTATAGTGATCACTATAGCTCCAGACATGTCCCAACATGAATCATGATATTCTTGTATTGAAATTAGATTAGCTTGTACACTTTGTATATCGTATACCCCTTGATTCAAGGTTTTTTATCATGTTAACCATTGGTAACCCTAGGGGCTCCCTGAAAATGTTTCATTTTACCAAGTTTGTCTGTCATATTCTAATTCTATTTTCTAGCTGTTATCTGGAAATAATATATTCCATAATGATCTAATAAAAAGGTATACTAAGGGCATGAGACTCCGGTCAATGCGAGGTCTGGGAGGATCAATGAATGCAGTCTTATTTTTTAAATTTTAAAAAGGCTATTTCTGTTAGTTGAATCATGATCTCCCAAATCGTAAACTGTTCGTCGTTTGTCCACGATGATTTTTGGTTCATGTTTTCTACTATTTTCTTCGTGTTTTTGGTGTTTTTTTAGGATAGTTTATACCAAGATTTGTAATTCCGCATCATACCGAAGTATTGAGCTCAACTCGATATAGTACGGTACAAGTACATCGAGCGCTACATTTTGATAAACCGCTCGGTGTATATATATATATATATGTATATATATATACATATATATATATGTACATATATATATATATGTACATATATATATATACATATATACACATACATATATATATATATACATATATACATATATATATATATGTAAGTATAAAAAAAAGCGATGTTGTCTCGTGTTTTGTGTGGGGAGGTTTCCTTCTCCCCATGCAAAACAGGGTGACGAGGCGACGTCGCCTCGTGTTTCTGCCCACGTAGGAGAAGAAACCGACCTCGGTTACTTCTCCCTGCGTAAAATAGGGCGCCGAGGCAACGTCGCCTCATGTTTCTGCCCATGTGGGGAGAAGAAATCGAGGTTTCCTTCTCCCAACAACACTCGGTTTCTTCTCCCCGCGACGTCGCTGAGGCTTCTTCTCCCCACGCGGATGAGGAGAAGTTGCCGACGATGCCGAGGCTTTGTCACCTCAGACGAGAAGGAGGCGGCATCTCATCTGCGGCATCTGGCGAGGGAGGGCGGCGACGGATCAGGATCGTCGAGGGAGAGCGGCGCCAGATCTTCAGGTTCTCTCTTTTCTTCTCCCTCTTCTTTCGGCTAATCCCTCTAGGTGGCACTGGGGTGGATGGGGCTTTGGATAGGTATCTAACAGGTGATGCAACGTCTTTAGTGTACCCGTTTTATGTTCAACGAAAGTGCTCGGTAAACATTAGGCCTAAATCAACCATTGGAATCCCCTTTATGTGTGCTCCTTCAGCCCATTTTCGAGATCCTTTCGAGCCTAATAAATATTGGTTCATTTGTGTTGCTTTCAAGCCACAAAGGACCCTTTCGAGAGATGATGATGCAACGACAACAGCAAATTACTCACACGTTTACCTTTCAAATATTTTCTTTGTTGTGTAGGTCCTTTGTGGACTACACATTACTAAGGTATAGGCTGACCCTAGTAGATGCATATCACTTGGGTATCGGACACCTTAGGCAATCCCAGCTAAGGACATAACATTGAGCTGAATCATGATCTCCCAAATTGCAAAGGAATAATCTTATCATTGTATTAAGCAAGGTTCGCAATACCGTACCGTATCGGTATTTCGACCTAGGCTCGGTACCGGTACGGTACGGTGTACCGAGCGGTACTCCCAGGTGTACCGAGCACTGCTACAGTGCGGACCGGTACCGGGCGGTCCGCGTACCGCTGGCCTGTCGGACCGGTACGTACCGCCCGTACCGGGCGGTACGATTCGGTATGGCAGACACTGGTATTAAGTATTAACTACTAAGGTCTGTCCTTACTCCATAATGATCTGATAAGGAATAAAATTTCAAAATCCTATGGTGGAAATAAAAAATTCTAGATACGTCAAACAAAATTGTACAATGATGGATGCAAATAAATGCAATAAAATAAGATCTTCAGCAACCAGTAGTAAGAAGATGTGTACCTAGATGATTTAGTAATAATTTAAATCAAGGATTGAAATATTGTACCGTACCGAAGTTTCAACATTCACTCGGTATGGTACGATACTATATACCGAGCGGTATATCGTTCGATATATCGCTCGGTATATATATATATTTTTATTTATTTATTTATATATTTTTTTATAAAAGGCGACGTCGCCTTTCCTTCTCCCATGTGGGGCGACGTCACCTTTTATAAAAATATTTATATATATATATATATATATATATATATATATATATATATATATATATTCAATCCAGTAACGGACGGTCTGTGTACCAGTCAGCTGACGGACCGGTATGTACCGCCCGGTACGAGCGGTATTATTCGAAACTGCATACCTTGATTTAAATAATGGGGAAGACCAAAATGTTGTATGGTCATTGACTCATTAACAATGTAGGATACAAATGGATGACGATGAGATGGAAATGTTGTAAACTTGAATAAATTAAGTGAAGAATACAGGAGTAGAGGAGTTTGTGCCTACAGCAATAAAGACAGCTTTGTGTAATAGCATTGGATGCACCCTAGATGAAACATACGTAAAAGAAACCCCATCAAAACATTCCAGAGTAGCTTTTAGAAAATCTGAATAGTCCCTATTGTTTCTTCATCTTATTTTGACTGGTCTTAAGCCTAAAGTATTCATTTAGTTACAAAAGCTCTTATAGCAGTGTGGCAGCTTATTTATAAGCAGAGCATGTTGTCAAAAACTGAAGGGAGAAAATACAATCAGAAACAAAACTATGAAACACACTAAGTGATTGTTGAATCTTCAAGTCCAAGTGCATAATTCATTTCTATATGGAATGTACAACTCCATTGCTTTACGAATTCTTGACAAAGACCATTGTGATGCTTATTACAAGTCCTTGAGTTTTTAGGTAGACAATTAATTCTTTCGTTCATTTTCTGGTGGTTTCTAGTGAAGAGTCAGCTTGCATGGCTATTGGACATCCATGCAATTTTAGCAGGCAAAACCTCCTCTTCTTCCTTCCTCTTCTTTATCCTCTTCCTCCAGTGCCTCCTCTTCTTCCTTCCTCTTCCTCCTTCCTCCTGGTCTTCCTCTACCACTATCTGTTCTTTCCTCTTCTCTTCTTTTTCTGCTTGGTCGATACATGATGACAAATGTTGGTAAGAAATGTTATTGTTTAATTTAACGGCTTGTATAAGTTGACTTGAGATAATGAATTTGCCTCTTTACTGTAATGTCAGAATGATTTGGCAATATGAACAAATCTTTATCTGTGCCGAACAGATCAATATTGGATACAGCCTCATCCGTATTGTGAGGTGAAAAACAGCATGGTTTTGTTGATAAAATATTAAGCCGACTACATGGATCCTTTTCCACCATAAATCTTTGTTGGAGGCAACATCCTCAACATGCCCAAAGACTTCATGCCTTGTTCAAAAATATCTGACCAAGTCTTTTATGATCTTACTCCTGCACTGGATCCATTTACTTGTAATAGTTCAAATTTCCTGATTAGTGAACCTAGAAGTCTTTAATGCATGTTTGAATAAGTATTTATTTGATTTTGTATGCTACAAGAGTGGAGCAACCTCTAGCCAACCACAAATGTATCTTTCAAATTATTTTCCTTGTAATTCATTCATCTGAATGTCTGTATTCATCTAACCTAAATTTTGAAAATGTTGTTTCCTAATTGCCATGTTTTGATCCATAAAGCATCACTGCATGGCAAGTTTTACATCAATACATAGCCTTCTAGCCACATGTAGTATTTCATATTTTATTTACTTCGGCTCAATCAGCATCAGTTAGGTAATAGAATCATCATCTTGTTATTCATCATCAAATTAAAAGTCACAAATAAAAAAACCAAGAAAATATATATCAATGTCTTTTTCATTCCTTTAACTTAACAAATCTACATCAAATTTGCATAAACAATACAGGATATATGTCATTAAGAGATCAGTCATCCATGTTTGTTTGATCCAATAAATGACTTGAAAAACATAATTATGTTTCATTCATTGCCACATGACTTTTCATGGAGTAGTATGCATATATGCCATCTAAAATATACATATTTATGCAATCTACAAAGCAACACTAGCAACCTGCTAACAGATTCTGGAATTTAATGTTCAACACAAAATTGGCTCAGGCTTGATCTGGAAGCTCAAGCAAGACGACCAAGATCTAACCCACTGTTGAGACCTTAAGTTAGTAGCATGTGTGTTTCTGTTATCTTTATACAGCATGAAGCTTATCTTTACATTACAATAAAGCTCCCAAATTGGACCCAAATTTACTTCAAAGTTCAAACAACCAACCTGACTAACCAAGCCTGTTCATATTTATCTCAAAGTTTGAGACAGGTAGGATAAGCCGATAAGGTATAACTGACCAAATTTATTACTAATTAGATGCTTCTCCATCTGGTTGAGCTCTTTTAAAACATCAAATCTAATGTATGTATGGTCTGTCGATTGGTTATCTATTGGTAGGATAACATACATATATATATGAGAAAGAGAGGTATAGATAAAGTAACAGTTTATCTTATAGATCGATGAGTCAGATCAACAACATGTTGATGTAGCGTTCTATCAACATTTGTATGCTGATAACACATCACATAGATCTAAAATATTGCTATTGATGATTCAAAAGAATTGCATAAAGTTAAAGAAGTTTGAACTCTGCAGAAACTTTAGCGACCTGGCTTTCAAATAAAAAGGAAGGTTTAAAACATACTCATTTGCTGACTGGTGTATAAAACTATTAAGTTGCTCGAATGCTGTTCCAATAATTATACTCGCCAGAAACACATTGACCAGTAAGAAGATATAATATTTAGATGCAGATCTTCTCTGGAGAGCTGACAATGAAACAAATCCTTCGAACTTTGACATGAGCATCAGTATCATAGGCAGCAATATAAGAAAGATCTTCAGAACAATTCCGGGGAGAAAACCTTGCATGACTGACTTAATGACGGGTCTGTGAAATTGCACATTATTCCATAAGAAGAAACATGAGACCCATGTAGGGAAAAATAATATCATTAGAAATGTAGTAATAAATCAAATTTTATTGCAAAGTTCTTGATTATTCTCCTATAGCTAACCATTCTAACGCAAAATTTGGCATTTACACAATAGAGTTAATAAGCATGTTTCTGTCGAAGAAACTAGGAAGAAAAAAGAAAAGGATCACCAAGCATTAGGGGTAATACAGGCAAAATTATTCTTGAACTTTATGATATTGAAAATCAAAATTATTTAAAGTTGTTGTCATCTTGGAGTAGCACATTTATCAGTTCCATATGCTCATAATGGTTTGTCAGTGAACAGCTATACCAATGATTGATAGGCAATAAGAATGCTTTAAGTGAACTGAAATCAATCAAAGAAAATTAATTTAATCAAAGAAAATAAAAAATAACAATTTCAAATTAATAAAGTAAAAGGACCAAAAAGAAAACTATTATTGAACCTAAAAGATAAACAATACAGTATACTTACATTTCAATTAAGGGCTTCAAAAATGGAGCTGCCTTCTCGATTCCTTCAATATTTGCAAGTGATTGTACCAATGCAATTGGAATCATAAAGAAGAAGGTAAGAAAGAAGAAGGAAACCACTACAATCAACTTTCTAATTGTGATGGAAACAAAAGGAATGGATAGATTCTGCCAATATATATCACGAGGTTCTGGTGCCCACTCAGTCAACCACAATGTGGGATTTCTTGTCTGTTGTGTTTGTGCACAAACAGCAGCCCCCCATCGTGTTCGAAAAGAAACAAATGCAGCTGGCATGATATACTTGGGGTTCTTTATTATATTTTCATGCTCTGCAGCTTCCTGAAAATGTATTTGACCAAAAAACCAGGAAACCAAATTTAGTATCCAAACAAAAAGTAACTATTTATTGTTTGTGTAACAACATATACTAAAAAGGTAAAGTAAAATCTAACACCAAGAAAAATGAAACATCAGAGTTCCGCATGTTAAATCATCATGCCTCCACAATAATGATAAGATAATTATATGAAGGCACCTAATGATCCACTAACATCTACTGCATGCATGAAATAATTGAGCATGAAAACACGGACAAAGGTATAATTACTTCCCTAATTCCTACTACTCCTTAACTTTACTTCAAGGTGCAGTTGCTAAGATTGGCAATTGAGAATAGGTCTAAGGATAAAGTTGGGATCTATCCACTAAGATCCAAAGCATTTCGTGTAATGTTGCTGAAACTAATGCTGACAAGGCACTAGGACCACTTAAACCTCGCTAGTTGGGACTAGTGAATCAATTTGAAGGCTAAGCTATCCAACTAAGCTCCAGGAGACCTACTGGAGCCAGCAAATCAGGATATCCTGAATTAAATAAGGCGTCAAGAACACTAATAGTGTCCTGTCATAACTAATGGATGCAAAAGAAAGAATCGTATCCTCAGATCAAGGTCAGGAGAACACAGAAAGATGAGAATACATTGCTATAACTTTCAGGAAGTATTACATTGAACTCTCTCTTTCCAAGAACATTTGTACAAACTGTCAATAATTGATCCTTCATGTCTGCCAATTTATTATGTTGCCTTTGGTATTTGACTTGGGCGATAAAATAGGCAGTGCTTTGGGTGAGATAAGGCCTTGAGTTGAATGGCTTTCTTTTAGTAACTTTGCCTCATTTTAATCAGATTCCACAAAATCTTCTAAGATATTTTTCAAGACCCTACAAACCCAAGTAGCCTAAACATACTCCAGCATTGCCCTTTTAATGAAAATTGGAGGCATAACCTAATTAAAGATTTCAGGTCAATCAGTCTGAGTAATGTTTTTGAAGGTGTATTACATAGTTGCAAATGGATGAACAGAATTGCTACTAGATGTAGGCTTATCTTCCCAATCTGCTTGGATGTGACAATGCAAGGTGGTTTATATAATAAAAGAGAGAAACGGATACATTAGTGGATGGTTCTTTGCTATCAAACTTGTACATGAGAAAGGCACTATTTGTTACTTCTCATACTTTGACGTGTTAGAAATTGTAATATCACTAAATTATCAACATCTCACTTATAGTTATTTGCAGTTAGGCTTGTAGATGCAATGAATTTCTATCCACAGTTAATCACATTGTAAGCTCATTCAGCACCACATGAGCCAACATACCAAAGTAAAAAAGCAATGAAATGATGAGTAGTAATGATCAATATTATGTTCTACAGCCATAGACTAGTGAAGAATAGATGTATACTGCTTATGGATAGAAAATTTCCTGATAACTTTGTTAACAAATGAATGTTGAATTTGAATAATTTCTCATTACCAAATATTAGTACAGAAATAAATCAGTGCAGGAGACATCAGATGAAAGAAACCAGATATTTTAAACTTATGCATTGATATTTTCATTTATTTAAAATAATGAAATATTTATGTGTGATAAATAAATACATTATTAAGTTACTTAAGCTTAACCCATCAGATAAACAATGCAATTAGTAGCACTTACTTCTTTAGAGAGTTTATCAATCTTAGATGTATAAAAATCAATTGCATCCACCTTGTGACCATACAGTCCCCAGAAACCAGTCTGTTAAAAACCAAGCACAAATATGATGTGCAAAAAAAATTGACAGATAAATACTATTAGTTAGTCTTAGTATAAATAAAGAGTATAAAAATTAAACATAAAAGAATAAAAACATCAAAGAGTGATAATGTCATTATAGCCATAGTACCTTTCTAGTCGGTCTTTTTAATGGATTGCGAACATATTTCAGTTGATAGTAGTCACGCCAATTCTCCATTTGTTTCTTCTCTTCAACCAGCTTAGCAAGTTTGTTTGCATTATACACAACCTACGCAGTATGCATAAATAAGGTTTTTTTTTTAAGTTCTTGATGCTAAACAAGTTACACTTGTAAATGTGCATAAAAATTATGCATGCATAATCTTGATGAATAACATTCACACCTGACAACTCTGCATAGATAGAAAACAGAAAGAAACACCAAAATAGATCATAAAATCCAACTATATGAAGCATGAGTTTATAGTAACAGAATCTAAAATTATATGCTTATAGAGTTATACACCTGGGCTTATGCTAATAGATGATAGAACTATAAGTTAAAGCAATATAATAATACTTTCAAGCTGAAATGTATTCAACAGGTTCATGATGACACTATCTTAGTGCTCATTCATATAACTAAGGAATCAATGACAGAATAAATACCTGATGGGTTAAGTAATGATCAGGATGATTGACAAGGAAAAAATGTTCAACAAGCTCACCAACTGACTCATCTGGATCAGGTGGCACATTTCGAACAAGGACCTAAAAAGAGTTTAAATGCACCATAGGTTAATTTGTAAACATGAGAAAGAGACTAGGTCAAGCAAACAATTATTGCAAAATATTATGCACATGTTCAGAACAATGATTGTAATTTCAGTTCATACCAATGTACCGAGCCTGCTCGATACAGTACGTATCGAGGTATACCGATGGTACACCAGGGTGTACTGATGATACGTACAAAATGACTAAAAAACCCATCAAAAATTAAAAAAAAAAGTTAGATTAGGGTTTTTAAGTTAGAAATAAATATAAATTTAGTATAATTTTAGCAAAAATAATGTAAATTGACCCAATATCGATCAAATTTTGATTAAATCATCATTAAAACCACTTATCACAGCATTAAAAAAATTAATTAAAACCTGATTAAGCATATTGTACCATCACAAATATATGATCTAATCCTTAATATGCATAAAATATAAAGATATGACCTATTAAGTATCTAATTTAAAAAAAATCAATATTAAACATAATAATCACAACATTAAAGACCTTAGTTACTCCCTAATTAACACTATTCTACCATCAAAAATATATCAAACAATATATTAGACATTAAGTCTTACACCATATAGAATGAGCTTAATCATCTTATAAATCAATAAAAATCTAGAAAGAAAATGCATACCTCTTGATTAGAATGTTTTTCCTCTTAATCCTCCCAAATTAACATCTTAAATTTAATTTAATTCATAAATCATAGCTTTGTTGAGCTTAGGATAGTGAAAATATAAGAATAAGAGAGAGATGTAAGTAAAAAAGAGTTTAAGAGAGTTCAAGATATTGAGAGAGTGAAATGAGATAAAAGAAAGGGGAGGAAAGGGTTTAAAAACCCTTTTCTAAACCTCAAATGATCAAATTAGCCATTTGAAATAGGGCAATCTCAACCCTATTAGTTACAGGTGCCCTGCAAGCCAATTATATAAGTGATGACACATGTAATCCGCTAAAGAATCTCTTTTGGTTAATATTTATCATGGCATTTTCTCACTTTATATTGGATGAATATATATATTGTGATGTCCTTGGATCTGTACAATGGAAATTGGATCATAATGAGATCATGATAATGAGACAAATTTATCTTTAAACTCGGATCCTAAACATTCCTGGTCATAAGTTACTCGAGAAGGACATCGAGGTAACCGGATAGACCGGTGTACTATATACCCATCCATATAATGGAGGCAGCTGGTCTCATAGCTGCTTGTGTAGGGACACCAGAGATATGGTATAGGTGCTCATTGGAGAATGAGTTCACAGAATGACCCGCTTACGGAATGTTGGATGATTAATGATACCTCATCATCAGACAATAATTTCACAGTTTCAGTTGTGTATCTACTATCTAGTCCTTCGACTTGAGACACCAAGAATACTTTGTTTGAGTACTTTATTCTTTAATACCGGATTTATAAGTCTAGAAGTTATGGATCTAGTACAGACAATCATTGAGAACGACAATCAACCTTACAAAGGCAATTGGGTGTCAATAGAGAATCTTCCACTCTCTATATCATGAAAGGAATATCCTATATATTCTCACTCTGGTAAATCTGTGACCAAGGTCATTTGGATTGTGATGAATCCGATAAGCATGAGACTCGGATTGAGAGAAGAGTTTCTCGGGAGAATCCGATTAAAGTGAGACCCGAATGGATTTCATATGGGCATGACAGCACCATACCTAGTATATGATCTCTAGATTATTAGATGAATAAGGGACTATAGATACAAGGTAACTAAGGGTCAACAGGTCCAATGAATTAAATCCTCCTATGTTGTTTGGGGACTATGATGTAGTGGCCTAATACGTTCATAGTCGATGAGTTGAGTGACTTATTATAAGGATAATAATTCACTGAGTCAGAAAAAGTTCTGAATCAGAAGGAGTTCTGACAGGTGCAACTCACGGCTAGTTCGATATTAGGTCTAGAGAGTCACACACATATGGTGGACAATATGACGAATAGAGGATCGAATATGGGATATCCGATAAGTCCCTGATTAAATGGATCCTTGGGAGAGACTCAATAGAGCTTAGAATGATTATTGGATGGGGATTCAATATTCATTAAGTCAGGAGTAATTGGATGGAGATTCAATACCCAATAAGAAAGATCCATTAGGGTTAGTTAAAGGAGGCTCTCTATAAATAAGAGTTAGGACTAAAAGAGTTATAGGCAAGACCCCTATTACCACTACCCTCCTCATCTCCTCCCCCCTTCTTCCTCCAGTCGACTGCCCCCTCTCTGGTGTGAGAGGACAGCAAGAGGGACCGATCCCTCCTTGTGTGTTACTGTGCGGTGGTGCACGATTACGAGGAAAGAACGTATTGCATGAGAAGATGCGTCACCGCTGCGTCCATCGTGTAGATCACCACTAGAGAGGAGTTTGCGAGAGCTTCTTCATCCACAGACTAGAATCTACCATCTTAGGGGATATACGAGTTCCCCTAAGTGAGAACATCTCAACCACTTTATACAGTTTTCAGTTTCATGAGTTTTACACTCCCGATCTTCGAACGATAATTCGATAAGATTGTTTTGGAAAACCAGTTTTTATTTTCTATTGTACATGTGATACTCCCCAAGATTTTCCAACAAACCCTTGATTGATAATGGTCGAAATTCGAATATTACCGACTGGTATAGGTTGGTAAAGATCGGATTTTGATCGTTACTGCTCGATACAGACCTCATATCACCCGATACGGGGTCAAGTGACCAGTATCACCCGATAGAGGGCGGTCCACGTATCGATATATTTATGATCAATTTATAATTAGAATTTTGGATTTACATTGTAAAATTAGCATAAACCATAAATGGTAATTTCAAATTAACACATTTGTTATTTTAGTAGTGTAATATTTTCTCTTGTTCTTATTTATGTATAGTTGATATCAAGGATTGAAATTTCGTACCATACCGAAGTTTCGAGCTTTGGTCGATACGTTATAGTGTTGTACCGAGAGGTATGCCAGGGCGTACTGAGCAATACGCCTAATTTAGGCGTAAAATTCTTCGAAAATATCTAAAAATAAAAAGAAAGTTAGGAAAGGGTTTCCAAGTTAGAAATAAATATAGTAATAGAATAAATTTAATGAAACCAATGTAAATTAGATAAGAATAGTAACACATATCTTTTTTGGACTTTAAGGAATAATCTTGTGCAAGGTTCGTATTTCGGTCTGTTACGGATTGCTCTTTTATAAATATTGAAATATCTACAGAAAAATTATTTAAATTATCAATTCATAAATCGTTGCTTTGTGGAGTTTAGGAGAGTGTAAATGTGAGAAAAAATAAGTTTGAGATAGTCTAAGAGAGTGTGAGAGTGAAATACGGGAGGAGATAAGTTTAAAAACCCATGAGAAAGTGTCGAAATCGATCGTTACCGAGCTGTACCAAGCGGTAACGATCGAAATCAATCATTACCGAGCTACGTCGGGCGGTAACGATCGAAATTTTGATCGTTACCATTTCATATACCCCTATATCGTTCGATATGGGGCGATATTGGGCGTTCCGCTCGGTAACGGGCGGTCCGCGTATCGGTATGCTGTTGGACCGGTACCTACTACTCGTATCGGGTGGTATTATTCAAAATTATAAACCCTGGTTGATATAATTTCCTCTTGAACATCTTCATTAATAAGAAAATATTGTAGAACAATTAAAACTTCCAAAAATTACAAAAGTTGATCTAACCAAGTTGATACCAGATGAAGCCTTGCTTCAACTTGGACTCCTGATTCAAATCCTTCATATCATATTGCCTTAGTTCACTGCCTATTACATGTAGCTCATTGTCGAGATCACAAGTGCAAAGTTATCCTAACTTGATCTTTTAATTTGTAATAATGTAACAGGTGACTTTTTCCACATGACAATAATTGCAATGTCTTCTTCATTGTATTGTTTATAGCCTCAAATAGAATGATTGTAAGGTAGAAAGTGTCCAAAAGATTTCCAAATCTACTTCAATACTAGTTAACACATAGCAGAGGCATGATGATCCATTTTGGCCTACTTCAATACAAGTTGACAAAACTTTGCTAACCAAATACATTTTGGCCTAAGCAACGTTTGTGTGTGTACAGATATATATGTATTATTTGGTAGCCTTGTTCATAGTATATATATATATATATATATATATATATATATATATATATATATAGAAC